AGAATATAGTAGGTTAGAGGTTATCAATAGATTTTTAGATCCACAAAAATCTACTCATTTGATCCTATTTTCTTCTCATCTAAATTTATATTGCATCTAAATTTAGATTTTCATCTCTATCTCCTTCTCTCACGCTCTAATTCATATCTAGCTCATCTCCCTCATCTCCTTAATTCAAAATCCTAAAGTTTAGCTAAAATCCAATCCCTGTAGATCAACCCCTAACGCACACCATCTACCTAATTAGTGCAAGACTGGGGTTATACAAATATCTTTGATTGAATCTCCCAAAGTTCAGGTCTCATCAGGTACATAAAATTTACATTGAAATAAAGTGAATATATGTACTAGGATATCTTAATAGATGATGTTTAATTGGATGAGGTTTAACTTATATTGTAAAACACTAAAATATTAATATTAGATCAAGACATTCACCTTGAATCACCTGCACTTTTTAATCATGTTACAATCTAAGATCACATAGACTGTATAAAAAAAATCTCACACTATTTTAAAACTTAAAAAGAAATGGTTGTATAAGTATGTAAATACCCTTGCCAAGTAATGTCATAAAGGTATCTTCTTATTAATTTAGGTATAGAAATATTAAAAATAGATAATAATGAGTGATGGCCCAGATTTAGTTCCACATCAGTTATTTTTTGAGTTTTGATATCAAAATATAATATCTTCTTTCTATTTTCATTGTAGTCCTCTCATGTGTGTATGACCACTCCTTACTCGACACCCATCTACCCACTAGTGATATGGAAGGAGAGTGACGCACATGTGCCTCCAACTACTTGAGTCCCTTGCTTGTCACTTTACTTAACTGTGTTTTTGATCTACTTATATGCCTAACTAGTCAATGGGTCCCCTGATTGTGTTTTCAGCCCATTTTTGGGCCTAGGGGCCGATGGGACTCTTTTTTTCTCAAAAATATGATTATAAAAATTATATAGATTCACATATAATCACATAGTTAAAAATTCAAACTAATTAACTAATTGTTTTTTCTTATTTTAGCACAATATAAGTCTATTTATCATGAAAAGAATTAAAATCTATTAATAATTGGTTATTAACTTATGATAATGAAGAATTATCAATAACCTAAGAGTATTAAATTTTAATTTTCAAGGTTAAGAATTTTTCTCAAAGATTTTTTTTTTTGAGCTTCTATATTAAGCATTTTAAGCTAACTTTCTCATTGAATTTTACTACTCTTCTTTGTTTAATATTAATAGTTTCTCTTATATTCACTTTAATTCATTTTTATTTTTTTAATTGTAAGCAAAACTATATTATATGTCATTCTAATGGTAAACAAAAAATATTTAAGATTATTTAAGATAATAGAGCCTTGAATCTACTTGAAGCAAACTTACATCTAGTGTTTTGTAACTATGTTATCAATTGATAATGAAACCTTGATAATGTTGATGTCGTTAGTTTTGATACATTAAGTAAACAATTATTTACTAAATTCTTACAAAATATTCAATGAACATTATGAGAATTTATTACAGAAGTTTACTATCTTTGAAAAATATTCAAGGTGTAAATTGACAATGGTTGAATAATCGTATGGCTAATAACTAAATTCAAGTAATTTTTTCCTTGATATATTCATACGTTCAATATAATGCAACATCATATAGTTGGTATACAAGTACAGAAATCAGGTATTAACACATGTGATGAAGTTTTTAGAAAATCAAGAAATATGAAGACACTAATAGGATTTGAACTCATAACATGAGCAGAGTAAAGTCAAAAGCCTCTATTGAGAAAACACTTGGAAAGTCAAAGAATACTAAGTCAGGTGCATGATTCAAGCTTATAACATGAGTTACAAAAGTTGAGAGACTCAACAAGTGAAATGGTTGAAAGTGATAGAGAAAAATATTGAGCAAAGAAGAATGTGAAAAATTAGAGTATTAATACCTTCAACAAAACTCAAACTCAAGATTTATACAATGACAAATCTGAAGTATTTGTGAGAAGTCATTAAAAAGTTATAAAAAGGGAGAAGTCTTTGCCACATGCTGGATGGTGACACATTGACACAACATGTGGAGAAAATGACAAATCAAGTAGACTTATTTTGACTCAACCCCAAAGGTAAAGATATTCATTGATAAATCACAGATCTCTAGACTGAGTTTCAAGAGCAACATATATGAGAACAATGAGCTCTGAAGCAAGGAATGAGCAAAGAATAATACCATATATTTTAAATGGTGACATATTGACATAATATGTGGAGATAACAACAAGGTTAAAAACTTTATTTGAGTGCAATTCTAAAAATAAAAATATATATTAATAAGCTATGAATCTTTAGAGAAAGTCTCAAGTAGAATGGATGTGAGAATAACAAATTTTGAACCAAGGAACAAGTACAAGTAAAGATCATGGGCACGCCCTCTAAATAGTGACATGTTGGTAGAATATGTGGAGATAACAACATGTTTAATGACTTTATTTGAGTTCAATATTAAAAAATAATTATTTATTAATAAACTGAAAATCTTCAAAGAAATTCTAAAGTACAATGGATGTGAGAATACAAACTTAAAAGAAAAAAAAAAGTAAATATCAATAGCACACCAGCAAAACAATACAAAGAAATTTAAATTTGAGTGTTTTTTTTCAAGTGATGAAAAGATTGGAGAACATTGAAGAATAAGAGGGAGTTTGTAAAGAAAAGAATCAATCTTGAACAAAGACATCTCTACTACATTCAATCACACTTAAGGGCACATTCTTCTCTATTTGTCAATGTAGAGCTGCCATATACTTCAACAAAGAACTTAATGCTACATTGAATATCTCATTCTATAGTGATGATTCAAGTCAACATTTGTTTGAAATGTTAATTTTCTTCTTTGGGCCCTAAGGTACTTGGGTGGTGAGTGAAGAGAGGCTTGGGTTAAAACATATGGTATTGAGAGCTTAGTAATGTCCATGGAAGGTGTGGTCTCTGAAGTGACTAGTATATTTGGGGCAAGACATGTGGTGCTAAGATTCTTGTTGTGCCTATAAAGGTGTGATCTCTATGGAGATTAGACTATGTGACTTGGCTGCTAATCCTATGAAACTAGCATGTATTTTTTGAGAAGAAACAGTGAACTCTAACAGAAAAGAATATCTAGGACTAGAAGTAGTCAAGTGAAGCACAAACTAATATAAAACTTCTATGTGCCCTTGGTGGTGATGAGAGAGTAGAGAGAGCACCTACGTAGAGAGAGAGAGATTATCTTGAGTAAACCTGTATCTATAATAAAGAAGTGGTGTGAAACTTGTGTTAATACATCTACTTGTAGAAAATCAATTCATCCCCCCTCTTGGTGTTCCACAGTTTCATTAAACCCTTTAGATGAGATATCTTTTGAAGCTCTAGGCTAAAAATAAAATCTTTTAATAATGAGCTGTTTATCTCAACCCATTATAAAAAATGACTAACTTACCACTTACTCTTAGCTCCTTTGAAACATTGTATGAGCTAGCCACCTTTAAATTTTCCACATCTTATGTTTCCCTTCGCTCGTTTTGCTCATCTGTGAATTGTGTGGGTTCTAGTTTTGCTCCGTGTGGGGCCTCCCATCCCTAGGTCCGTGTTGGGCCCATGGCAGGGATGGGAAGGCCCATTTCCTTTTGTTTTCTTTTCTTTCCTCTCTTCTCCTGTCGGGCCATATGTGCTTGGGCCCAATTGGAGAAGAGGGCGTCCTTCTTTTCCTCGCCTCCCTTCTCTTTTGGGCCATTCTCATTTGGGCCTAATTGGAGAGGAGGGCTCATGTTGGACTCTCTGTGTTCCTTTTTTTGGGCTTTGGCGTCTTGGGCCTCAAGCGTGGCCCTCCACCCTTGGCCCATTTGGGGCCGTATATTAGGGTGGAGAGCCACCCCCAAGAGCCGTCATCTTTAGGAGAGTGTGTTTTGATTGTGAATCTCCTTCCAAGAGGACAAAGAGAGGAAGGAGAATCACCACCAGGCCGTCAGCAGCCCATCGAGCCGCCACCAGGACGGCGTCATCACTACCAGGCTATCAGCACACCGTGCCTCCGCTAGCTCACCAACCCCGCGTGCCCACTAGCTGCGCTTGCCCGCCGCCCGCTCAACCGTGCGTTCGTCTCGCAACCGTTATGGTACCTCCGCGTACACGCTACAAGCCCGCCCGCGTGCTACCCCGCCTGCCCCTGGGAGCTCGTCATTGCGCCTGACCTTGGGCACCTACCTGAGTGCCCCCAGCCACTTGGTCGTCCCCCTTCCTCCAACCCTATCCGAGCCCATACTAATGAGCCCAGCCGAAACCAGCCGCTATCCACCCCTGGAACGCCTGTCCACGGTGTCAGCTGGATTCCCTGTCACACACCGACTGGACGTCTGCCTTGCAAGTTAGCTCTTATCCTCAATCCTCCAAGTCATTTACTACGTTCAGTATCGTCTCGCACTTGCTCCACCGCCGTCGGACCTAGCTAGGTTAGAATGGGTTAGGTGCCTCCACCGTGCGACCCTGACGCGCATGCCAGAATTGTCACGTGGGCCGTCGAGCACTTGCTGTGGAGTCGCGTCGACGACATTAAGTCCTCACCCTCCGGACGTGGACTTGGAGGATCACCCTGTATCCGCACCCCTTGGCGACGCCCAGGCGCGAGGGATCGCCGGCGTCATGGCACTTCGGCTATCGCCTACACTTAGTTTTGCATTCATCAACTAGAGTCCCTGGTTAGCATCACTCGTGGCCTATAGGATTCACTTCCCTTGTTACCTCACCCACATTTAGTTGTCAGGGCAGGTTTACAAACCTGTCCTACATCACCCCCTCCTACCAACCAAACCCAAATCAATCATACCTTTTGACCAAATATTGAATAAGAAAGAGTAGTACACTTGAAAGCCATAAATAGTTTACATTCAAAGTTTACAAATTTATGAGGAAATAAGAATAATATATCGTGGTAAACATAGAAAATCGGATTACACCTTATTTCTTTCTATGAATTCCTTACTAATGAAACAGCTAACGTCTTTAGCTTGTTTTTTGATATGGATACCTCTTTCTCAACTAGTTTATTGTAGTTTGAAAATAAAACTTCAATAATATCACCCCCAAAATGCCTCACGAGCAAAGGCTGTACCATTGCTCGTGTCATATTTGTAATGAATACTCCTGTACTCTGTTTGGCATGCTCTTGCACTGATTTTAGCTCCACATCAAATAGTTTTATGCAGTCTATAGAGAATGAACCCTCTTTATGGATCTCTTGTTCCACCTCTAGAGGTAAAGGTGCGTAGAATGGCAAATTGAAAGAGTTGAAGTTCTCCTCCTGGATGTAAGCCTAAATGTAAAAGTTTATAGTCAAGAAATTACCAAAAACTTTAATAAAGATGAAAGAAGTTGTAAAAACTAAATAATCCTTCATATCATATATGCCTTTTTTGAATTTTTTGGAAAAGAGCTGAATATATTTAGATCAAAGTATATACAAGTTTTGGATATTTGAAGCAAAATATAGAATTAACTCCGATTTCTCTAAGATTCAAGTATCAAAATGGATGCTAATATTCATCAAATTTATTTCATGTTTCTCTGAAAATTTTTCATTTGCATGTATCCTATCCCCAAAAACATGCAGGACCATATCATTTTAAAGAATATGGATGTGAAAATGTAGTTACATTGTTATTATAAACTAAATATATAGGAATATGAAAGCTTTCTTTATTATAAAATGTGAGTAGTTGTTTCCAACATTATTCCATCTTGACATAACTATGTAAATTCAAAGAGCACTACGTTGACATAAATCTGTATTTATTTGGTGGATGAGTTAGTGAGGATGGTTTATATATAATTTAAACATTAATACACCAACACTTTTCCAGACAGCCTACCCAATATTCAGAAAACGAAGCCCATATAAAGGAGAGTTTTAAGGGAAGAAATATAGAAAGAACTTGTAGAAATTAAATTATTAAATTTATCTATCAACAACTTGAATGAGTTGTTAAGATCCCATCAATGTGTGTCCACACATTAACCGAAAAATACAGCCTTTAATGAGCGACTTCGACTCAAGTGTCTACAGAATATCTAAATATAAGGAGAGTATTAACGACTCACTAACATCAAAGAATGCATTAAATACAAAGAAAAAAACTAGAACACATCAAGTCAAGCCAAGCAACAAAATGACATCAACAAATGTCAACATCTACAGTGTAGGAACTTAAAAGTAGAAGCGAAGTAGAGATTTAGTTTATTTTCAATTCTCTCTTATATACTTGCAAATTGGCCATTGTGAAGAAAGAGCGAATTTAAATTTTACAAAGTCTATTCATCTCATGTGAAAATTTCTTCATGACCTATGTAATATAGGCCTTGCATCTAAGAATTTAAATCATTTTTATCCTGTTGTTCCAAACTGTTCTAAGTTATTTTCTAAAACTTTCCAGATATTCAGAAGCTTGCCCCACAGAGATAAGATCGAGCCACCTTGCGTTGAAGGCAAACAAGGACAGTCTGAATAACATTAAAATTTTCAACATGTTGACTGGTAATTAGAGGAAGTCTGGAATTTTTTCGAAATATATAAATATTGTTATCACACAAATCTGTCTCACATTCATTGATCTTAACTGACGTAATAAATTGAACGAAAGATGTTCATTCTCTTTTAGTTATGTCTTCTGTGAAATGAAATAGTATGTTCTCTTGAAAGGGTACCCCTTCTGCGACTCCAATTTATTAAAATAGGGTTGCCACCTAAAAATTTGGTTTAATTTACATGCTCGTCACAGATTTAAAAAGTATATTGAATAAATATCAGGCAATCATAGACAAAAGCATATTTACCTAAATTTGGGTAAAGTATATAAACATAAATAAAGTTAGCAACACGAACCTCTTGAACCAGATCCCGAAGCACTCGAGATAACAGAATCCATATCAGAACACTGCATTCCTGGATGGGATCCAAACTTGTTCGGACTGCTATAGTCAGTACCATCCGTCCACCAGGAACTGTTTCTACTGATCTACACCTTAGAAAACTTGAGAAGTCAATTCGGAACTGCCTTGTGTATGCTTGAACCACAGAAGGTGGACTTTCTTCGGAAATGTAAATGTTCCCTTTGTTCAAAACCATGCCGCGTTCTGCTTGGGCCTTTAAGGGATCCTGTAATTCATCTTCCCATGAATTATTCAAGAGAATAAAAACTTTATCATTCGAGGCAACCATCTAATTTTCTTCAGATCAGGTCTAATGTCAACCTGGTTCATAGATGAATGACTAAGAGACATAGTGGAATATCCATTGTGCACTCATAGTATATTAAAAATTTGTGATATTTATCTATCTGGTGAATTTGAAGGGGAACATGGCGATGGATTTCCATGACTCAGTTCGTCAGCCTATACGTCACTCCAACGGTAACATGTTAGAAAAGTCTTCTTAGCGGGGATGGAGTAGAAAGGGAGAATATAACAGCGATTCCCAAACAATCCTAGAATGATGGAGATGAATTACTTGTATTAGAATACTATTCTTTGCCTTCATAGCAGATAAACTAAAACATAACGCACATCAGACGATCGGCCTAACCTCTTCTATGATAGTCCTCTGCAGAAAACATAACGCACATCAGACGCCATTAGTAAACGCTAAAAGAAGACCAGGGGAGAGTAGTTGTAGTAGCTCTTCTTCGTGCCAGAAACCTGAATGGAAGAATTTCTGGCATAGCTGGTCTCAGCATCCCCTCCTTTCGTAAAAGCCAGGTGACGGCCAGCAGCCTCCATTGTCTTTCTGCTGTCGCCGACCTTGAGAAGATCTCGTGCAGGGTGGAGGGGGGGAGATGTTCGGATTATATTCATGGAAATACGAGACCTTTCGTCTTCGTAGGATACGTCTCTTCCACGTTACCCTGGAGATTTGATTAACCGGAAAACTTTTGTGGAGACTTCCAAGATGCTGCGGAAAAGGTGTGTGCGGGTAATATAATCGGCTAAATTAAGGTGTTAATGTCGCTAAGGTCAGATATGCGCAAGTGGACGCTATCTAATTCTCCATTATGACGTCAAGGAACAACGTTCACTGGGGAGAGAGAGAGAGAGAGAGAGAGAGAGAGAGAGAGCAAAATTGCCATTTACAAGTGGACGTTATATCAAATTCTCCATTATGTCGTCAACAAACAACGTTTACTCGACAGCGAGAGAGAGAGAGAGAGAGAGAGAGAGAGAGAGAGAGAGACAGACAGAGAGAGGCAGAGAGAGACAGAGAGACTGCGAAATTGCCATGTCCAAGTGGACAATATATCGAGCTCCGTCTGAGGAGGAAAATTACCTTTCTGGGATCTTGCAGCGTTCAGACATCCGGATGAAAAGGAAGCACGTGGACTGGAAAGCGAGAGAGAGAGAGAGGGTACAAAATTACTACGAATTGGCTATCCTTTTATCAGCTGAACAGGCGTTGACTCCATCCTCCGTTTTGTAAATCTCACGCAAAGATTTTCATTTCCAAATTTGAAGGCTGTGTTTGCTTGCTTGCGTGAGGATGGTGTCCATCCGGATGTGAATCCGACCCTCAGTTTTCTTACAGACGGCAGGATTGTCGAATTATTTATTATCAAATTACGCGCTTCGGAAAGAGCATTAAGTTGTGGTTTCTGAACCATCCTGATATTTTATTGGCCGGAAACTGGCCGGAAACTAGATCATTGAAAAGCTAATTAGAAGAGGAACAAGATGTAATAAACAATGCATTGAAATTTGTGATTTAATTTTTTTATAAATCTACAAAGTTAATTGTTTAGTTTTTCTGGTTTTTAGCACGTGTGTGAGCCAATACAGATAACCCTGAAGTCGTTGATTCCCAGGGGTTGGTCTGGCATCTACAGGAAAATGAGTCTCAATTTACTTCTTCACCATTTTACGATTGAAATCGTTGGAAAAGCCATTTTTGTCCACATCCTTCAGTAAACCAACTGTGCTACTGCGCCGACAAGATCGCCAGTGGGCGCACGCAGTAACATCATAATCAGTGAGTCAACGAACCTCTTGAATGGAAGGATGCATTGGTTCTGGCTCGTCAGCACAGCTGCAGGGTCTCTTTTGACTTCGGCGGCAGGTCGGCGTTCGTCGGCAAACAGCCAGCGACTGGGCAGAGCGGCGGAGGGCAGCTTCGGCGAGTTTATGGTGGAGTTCTGGAGGAAGAGGTGGCAGTTGAACCGGGAGTCGAGAGACTCCGGTGGAGTGCTCAGCGACGGCTCGTGGGGAGGTAAAGCAAGCCCCTTTCATCATGACGGCATGACGGGGTTCTAGTAGAGGCGGCGGCGGATGCAGCGGCAACCGCGACCGTTTCGTCTGGTGACGGCGGCGAACTCCTGGGCGGCAATGAGATAGCCGGCAGCGGCAGTAGTCTCAGGCGGCAGTTGGAATTCTCGGACAGCAGCATCACGAGGAACGAAGTCCTCAAAGGGGGTATCGACGGCCTTCCTCTTCCTCCTTCCCTCCCTATCCTAGATCACGGAGAAGGTACTCACAAAATGATAATTTCTCTCAAAAATACGGCGCTCTTTGAGGGGGGGTCTTACCTCCCCTTATATGGGGGCCCACAAGTGGGCTAAGGGGAGGTGGGCCCACTTGAGACCCTCAAGCCCATAAACCACAAAGGCTACAAAAGGGGCTTATTGGGCCTCTTAAAGAGAGACCCAATAAGCTCCCCTAAATGAAGAAAGAGGAGGGCCCTCTTATGGTGCTTAAGTGGGCCTTAAATGAAGACCCAAATAAGCCCCAAAAGAGGCCCAAAAAAGGAAGACACATAGGTCCCCCCCCCCCCCCTTAGGGTTTTAATTGGGCCTCAAAGAAAGACCCAATAAAACCCTAAAGGAGAGACAAACAATAACACACACATAGAATTGGGCCCACTAATACATAAATGCGAGGCCCAACAAGTCAATGTGAGAATACCAAGAAAGATAAGGGTGAGCTCGAGCTTGTCGTCGTCACAGAGGTGGAATGTTGTCATCCCAAAGGGCTAGGCCGTGTAGTGAAAGCCAGGCTCCTTCGTCTTCGTGCATTGATCGGGCTGAACTCGGACTGCTAGTATCTCCTGAGTTGATGGAGATGGGTCCTGCTCACCATCATTTTCGTTTCTCAACTCATCAAATTTTTCATCTTCCCAAAGCTATCTTCTAATTTTGGTATATGATATACATTATCATCCTCACTATCAATATCCATTGCTGTAAAATTATGATTAAATTTATTAATTTTGTCTCCCACATCTCCCAAATCAACTAATTTTTCCTCACTTGAAATATATTTTTCTTCATTTCTATCCTTACTCACTTCTAATAAAATTTGGATGATTCTTCTATAATCAACTATTGTTTCTTCATCTAAGGAATTTTTCTCCTCATCATGCTCACTATATTCATTCATCAATTGTGAGTAATAAATAATTTTATTTAAATTTTGTGTTACTAAATTTTCAATCTTAATATTTTTATTTACTTCTAATGACTCATCTATTTCTTCTAATAATTGAAAATAAGGATCAAGTAAAATATTCTCACTCAACGTATTCACTATCCTAATATTTTCATTTTGTGAGTTTTTTCTTAAATTTATCTAGTTAGTCTCTCCTTGCTAAAATCCTACTATTGGTCAGTTTCTTAAATTTTCTTTGGGCTGACTAGGTGGCTGTCCCTCTTCTTTCTTATTCTCAAAAGCATCTATAATTTGTTTTTGGTGCAACATCATTTGATTTATAATTTGTTGCATCATTTGACTCATTTTCTATATCATTTCCATAGCATCAAATTAGATTTGAGAGGGTTGATTTTTCTAAAATCTATATTCCTATTTTAGATGAAATTTAAAATTTAAATTGGATCTAAGTGCTTTTGAATTTTGAACATTATTTGAGTTTTTCCATGAAAAATTTATTCCCTCAATTAGGATTATAAGAATTAGAAAAATATTCCCTATTTTTACTAAAATTGTGGGTTACTTACACTTGCTCTTGCCTAAGATGAAATGATTGATCTAAATTATAATATTAAAATTCGAAATGATCATTTTCACCATATATAAGACATGCACTATATGCATTCAATTGAAGGTTATGAGGCTTTCTAATATTCTCAATAAGTAAATCAAGTTTTTCTAATCTTTGATGAATCTAATTAACCTCTTTTCTTAAATTAAAATCATCATCATAATGCAATTCATAAATTCCTCTCTTTTTATCCCTATCATATAATTCAAAAGAGGCATGATTTCTAGAATTTTTACTTAAATTCTCATAAAGACTATAAATCTCATCAAGGGTTTTCTCCATAAAAGCTCCTCTACATATAGAATCAATCATTTTTTTATATTATTTTAATAATCTATCATAAAAAATTCAATTGAGCTGCCACTTGGGTAAAGTATGATGAAGACACTTTCTAAGTAAATCTTTGAATGTTTCCCATGTCTCATGTAAAGTTTCTCTCAGTCTTTAAAAAAAATTCTATATACATTTTCTCATATTTTGAGTTTTTCCTAAGGGATAAATTTTTTAAAGAAAGGCTTGTTCTATGTCTTTCACTTAGTTAATTCTCTATGTGGATAGCCAATGATTAACTTTATCCCTAAGTGTATGAGAAAATAATTTCATCTTAATAATTTTTGGTATAACTTGAGGGAGATTAACTAAATCACAAACCACATGAAATTGTTATAAATGTTGATGAGGTTCCTCTAAAGGCAATCCATGAAAGCTAGGGAGCATTTAAAAACTTCTTGGATTTATTTCAAATTTAATAGTGGATGCTAATGGGACTCTAATATTGGATGCTCTTTGAACTGAATGAGAAATATAATAATTTTTCATGGCCATAGGATTGTTCTCAATTTGACTTGTACTTCTTTTAGGATCCATCAAAATTAATTTTTCTTTCGGATTTTTAGTTTTGAATGAAATAGTGAAAGGATTTTCTAGCCTTGGATGCAAGGGTCTTTTACCATACATAAAAATCAATAAATTTGAGGAAAAAGTTTAATAATTGTAACCCTCCTTCAATATGCTTCAGTTCTTGCCTTGTTTCTCTTCTTTCTCCTTTTCTTTTTTCTTTGACAAGAAGAAAATAAAATAAGAGTTAAGTTTTTTTATGTACTCTAAGAGAAAAATAAAAAAATATTAAATATTATTTAATACATCCCCAGCAATGACCGACCCTCAAGCACGATGTAGGGAACATTGTCGCTCAGTGTTGAGTGTGCACACTCGCCAAGCAGATAAGGAAGAATGTTGGACTCTACATGCCACTTCTAGTGCTGACCCGCCCATTGACTTCATTTTGGGACTCCTACGCACTACACAACGCCATGACTCGATCATGGTGGTCATTACTAAGGGACTAGCAATGATTTAAGTTGGGGGATATGATAAGTCTTCATTATCATGAGTTAATAATTAGTAAATAATATAGTTTTAGCCTTAACTCATGATAAATAGACTTATATTTGTGTTAAAGTATGATTTGTGGTTTTTAGTTGATTAACGTGAATTTTTGGGTAATTATGTGATTTTATACGATTTTTACAATCTTACTTTTGAGATAAATAAAAAACAAGAAATAAAAATATTATAAAATGGGGGGACCCATCGGCCAGTCGGGCCCGCAAGCGGGTCGGAAGCATAGTTAGGGAGTAGCCGCGAGCAGGGACTTGAGCGGCTTGGCTTGGACCGATAGGGGCACATGTGCACCACTCTCCTTCCATGTCACTAGTGGCTAGCTGGCTATGGGGCAAGGAGTGGTCGTACACACGAGAATAGTGACTTTGCTTATAAAGCTAAAATTACTATATATTTGCCTGAAAAATCGACACACAACCAATGTGGGACTAAACCCGCGTCACACCTTCCTCAGAGGTGGGCGACCGGCGAGGGTTCGAATCCTCCTAGAGTCAAAATTCATATATTTTTATCTGATTATCGCGACTTTCTTGTAGATCACTAGTGAAGGATTAAGCAACGAGAATCGTTGGATCATCAGCAAAAATCTTGTCAACGCGATTCACAGAGCATTGCTACTAAAATTGCTAAATGATTCGCGATAAAAGGATTGCAATCCATCAGGTAAATCATCTCCGATTGATCGACGAACAAGCCATTGTCGGGAAGAAGACGATCTGCCAAGAGATGAGTTGCCACCTCCTGAGAGCGTACCAGATGTGATGAAGAGCCTCCTCTTGTTGCGCGGACTTGAGAATGAAGCTTCCTGACACGCACCCCACCTCCATCCAACTCCTCTCTGTCGGGTGACAGCTGCCGGAGAGCTGCAAAGTTGCTATTTTTCTGCTCCGTTGGGTGACGCCGTCGGAAGACGATCAACAACCCACTTCATTGATCTCTAGACTTCGCGAGAAAATCTAGAGATTGCCCACGTCGTCTTTGTCCAAGGAGAGCTTTCGAGGCCGTGGACACTACATGACAATCCTCCCAAATGCTCAAGATTTCGGTGCATCGCCGACGCATTAGTGTCGCGACGCCGGAACTCTGTTTTCTTGCTTTCAATTTACTTTATACTTTATTTAGTGATAATTTTTGTGTTTTTAAGTTACCAAAATATATTTTGTTCAATTACGATTCTTCAGGCTTTTACAAATCTTAATTTGATTAATTAAATCATTTGTAATTGCATACGCAAGAATCACTGGGCAAAACTCTATTTTCATCTGATTCACATCCGCCCGGCGCTGACATCATCTCGATGTCCGCACCCTTATTTCTTTTTTTTCGTAAATTTTAAATATATTTCTTTTTTATTTCCTAGTATAAAATTCATAGAAAATCATATTCATTGAGAAAAACTATAAATAATTACTAGATATTATATTACATCCCTGTGATCGACCTGGAAAATTATCACTATTTTTGGAAGTTTTATTAAATTATAATTGATATATTTATTTAGAAATACTTCTAAATATCTAAAAATTCATATTTTCTAGTTTTATAAATTTTATATTTGTGTGATTTAATATACAACGACTGAGTCATGTCAATTGTCCTCTTTCTGACGATGGTTTATTTGTCGATCAATTGAAGATCTTTTACTCCATAGATTCGTGATTCTTTTATCGTGAATTGTTTAGTAATTTTAGTAACAATGCTCCACAAATTGCATTAACGAGATTTTCACCAATGATCTAGTAATTATGGTAGCTTAATCCTTCACCATCAATCTACAAAAATTTATGATAATCAAATAAAAATATGAGTTTTTATTTTAGGAGGATTCGAACCCGCACTGATTGCCTACATGTATGAGAGAGATTGAAATAAATACTCTAATGTCATTATCAAATGATGTCATCATGATATATCTCTATTATAAATAAGGGGTATTGTAAGTATTAAAAGCATCGAGGCCTTTTGAGGAAAGGTGTGACATGAGTTTAGTCTCACATTGCTTGTGCACCAAAGTTTAGAGCAAATATATAGTAATATTATATTTCCAAGTAAGTCCTTTTCTCCCACATGTATGACCACTCCTTACCCCACAATCAACTGGCCACCAGTGACATGGAAGGGGAGTGGTGCACACGTGCCCTCATCAGTCCTAGCCACTCGAGTGATGGTGAGTAGGACTCATCTCCATCAACTCAGGAGGCACCGGCAGTCTGAGTTCAGCCCAATCGATGCGTGAAGATGAAAGAGCTTGGCTTTCGCTATACGGCTTAGCCCTTTGGGACAACAACATTCCACCTTTGGAATGATGACGAGCTAGAGCTCACACTTATCTTTCTTTGTATTTTTACGTTGACTTGTTGGGCCTTGCATTTGTGTGTTAGTGGGCCCAATTCTATGTGTGTGTGTTACCAGGCCCAATTCTATGTGTGTGTTAGCGGGCCCAATTCTATATGTGTGTGTCGTTGTTTATGTCTCCCATTTTTTAAGGTTTTATTGGGTCTCTCTTTTGAGGCCTAATTAAAACTCTAAGGGGGGGGAACCTATGTGTCTTTCCTTTTGGGCCTCTTTTGGGGCTTATTTGGGTCTTCATTTGAGGCCCACTTAAGCACCGTAAGAGGACCCTCCTCTTTCTCCTTTTAGGGGAGCTTATTAGGTCTCTCTTTAAGAGGCCCAATAAGCCCCTTTTGTAGCCTTTGTGGCTTATGGGCTTGAGGGTCTCAAACAGGCCCACCTCCCCTTCGCCCACTTATGGGCCCCCATATAAGGGGAGGTAGGACCCCCCCCCCTCAAGAGAGCGCCGTATTTTTGAGAGAGATTATCATTTTGTGAGTACCTTCTCTGTGATCTAGGATAGGGAGGGAAGGAGGAAGAGGAAGGCCATCGATACCACCTTCGAGGACTTTGTTCCTCATGACGCTGCTGCTCGATAAGTCCCGCCGCCGCCTGAGACCACTATCGCCGCCGGCCATCTCATTGCCGCCCGAGAACTCGCCGCCGTCACTGGACAAAACGGTCGCGGTTGCCACTGCAGCCGCCGCCACCTCTGCTGGAACCCCATCACGCCATTGTGACGAAAGGGGCTCGCTTCGCCTCCCTACAAGCCATCGCCAAACACTCTGCCGAAGTCTCTCGACTCCTGGTTTGACTGTCGCTTCTTCCTCTAGTACTCCACCATAAACTCGCCGGAGCTGCCCTCCACCACTCTGCCCAGTCGCTGGCCATTCGTCGACGAACGCCGACCTGCCGTCGACGTCGGAAGAGACCCTACTGCCGTGCCGATGAGCTAGATCTAGAACAAGCTCCGCACAGGCCCCTGCCAGAGTTTCCTGATGATCCGCCGCTGTCGTGCTGTTTCTGGCACCGCCTAGACCAAGAGGGCTCAACCCTCCCTGATTTTGCCGGCCGGATCATCTCCTTCCTCTGCTCCGCTTCCCAGTGCTGCTAGAGAAGGCTGACCCTTCTAGCGACAGCTGGTTTGCCAGCTGATAAGTCTTCATTATCATGAGTTAATAATTAGTAAATAATATAGTTTTAGCCTTAACTCATGATAAATAGACTTATATTTGTGTTAAAGCATGAAAAGTGGTTTTCAGTTGATTAACGTGAATTTTTGGGTAATTATGTGATTTTATATGATTTTTACAGTCTTAGTTTTGAGATAAATGAAGAACAAGAAATAAAAATAAAAATATTGCAAAATGGGGGGACCCGCTGGCCAGCCGGGCCCGCAAGCGGGTCGGAAGCGCAGTCGGGGAGTAGCCGCGAGCAGGGGCTCGAGTGGCTTGCTTGGATCGATAGGGGCACGTGTGTGCCACTCCCCTTCCATGTCACCGGTGGCCAGCCGGCTGTGGGGCAAGGAGTGGTCGTACACGCGAGAGGACTTTGCCTAGAAAGCTAACTTTACTATATATTCGCCCGAATAATCCGCGCACAACCGATGTGGGACTAAACCCGCGTCACACCTTGCTCAGGGGCGGGCGACCGCCGCGGGTTCAAATCCTCCCAGAGTCAAAATTCATATATTTTTAACTGATTATCGCGACTTTCCTGCAGATCGCCGGTGAAGGATTAAGCAACCGGAATCGCTAGATCATCGGCGAAAATCTCGTCAACGCGATTCGCGGAGCATTGCTACTAAAATTTCTGAACGATTTGCGATAAAAGGATCGCAATCCATCGAGTAAATCATCTCCGATTGATCGACGAACAAGCCGTCGTCGGGAAGAGGATGATCCGCCGGGAGACTAGTCGCCACCTCCTGAGAGCGTACCAGATGCGATGAAGAGCCTCCTCTTGCTGCGCGGACCTGAGGATGAAGCTCCCTAACACGCGCCTCACCTCCATCCAGCCCCTCTCTGTCAGGTGACAGCCGCCGGAGAGCCGCAAAGTCGCCGTTTTTTCCGCTCCGCCAGGTGACAGCCGCCGGAGACGATTCGACGACCCACTTCATTGGTCTCTAGACTTCGTGAGAAGATCTAGAGATTGCCCACGTCGTCTTTGTCCAAGGAGAGCCTTCGAGGCCGTGGACACTGCACGACGACCCTCCCGAACGCTCAGGATTCCGGTGCATCGCCGACGCGTCGCCGTCGCGACGCCGGAACTCTGTTTTCCTGCTTTATCTAGAGATTGCCCACGTCGTCTTTGTCCAAGGAGAGCCTTCGAGGCCATGGACACTGCACGATGATCCTCCCGAACGCTCAGGATTCCGGTGCATCGTCGACGCATTGCCGTCGCGACGCCGGAACTCTGTTTTCCTGCTTTCAATTTAATTTACGCTTCATTTAGTGATACTTTCTTGATTTTTATTTACCAAACTATACTTCGTTCAATTACGATTCTTCCGGCTTTTACAGATCTTAATTTGATTAATTGAGTCGTCTGTAATCGCCTACGTAAGAATTGCCGGGCGGAACTCTGTTTCCGCGTGATTCGCGTTCGCCGGGTGCTGACGTCATCCTGACGTCCGCACCCTTATTTCCTTTTTTTGTGAATTTTAAATATATTTCCTTTTTATTTCCTAGTATAAAATTCGTAAGAAAATCGTACTCATTGAGAAAAATTCTGAATAATTACAAGATATTATATTACATCCCTGTGATCGACCTGGAAAATTACCACTATTTTTGGGATTTGTATTGAATTATAATTGATATATTTATTTTGAAATACTTCTAAATATCCGAAAATTCGTATTTTCTAGTTTTATAAATTTTAAATTTGCGTGATTTAATATACAACGACTTAGTCACGTCACCACCCAACTGCCAACCTTCGACATTCTTGCCGAAGCGCTGTTGACGCTCAGCCTTCCCACCGAAGTGCCACTAATGCTCGGCCTTCCCGACGAAGCACCACTGACGCTCGGCCTTCCCGCCGAAGCGCCACTGATGCTTGGCCTTCCCACTGAAGCGCTGCTGACGCTCGGCATTCCCACTGAAGCGCTGCCGCCGCACACGCCCCGCGCGCCAGTTTCTATGGCCTGCGCGCTCACCCGGTGCCACTGTCCACGTGCCCTAAGGCACGTCATGCGGCTTGCCACATGCACCCGCTAGCGTCCCCTTCGGCCCACCAGTGGGCCCACACTTGCTAGCATGCCCTTCAGCCCACCTACAGGCTCACGCCCACGTCGACTGTGCCACGCCCTAAGACGACGACTTTCGTGACTCTCGACCAAGACCAACCATCGACGCTAAGCATCACTCTTCACTAGATGTCTCTGCCTTCGTCAAATCTCCACTCCATCATGACCCGCCGGGCTATGTAGCTCCGAAGGTTAGCTCTATACCCCTTCCTCTTAACTTTACTTATCTCTCAAAGGGTTTTCTTGGCTCGTCTCCACCACCATCAGGAGAATGTAGATAGGATAGGACGATTATCGGGTTGTGACTTTTGATGCTGCGCTAGATTCATCATCGTTCGTAAGCTGTAGCCCTAGGCTACCTCACGACGACTGTTCCACCATCTGTCCAGACATGGACCGAGAGGGCCTCACACTTACCATCATCAAGTGTTTCTCTTAGTTGTCCTGAGTTGATCATGCCTATTGGTATGCTTACTTATACTTAGGTTAAGTAGTAAAACCTAGAGTCTAGGGTCCATACATTCTTATCGGATCGGCCCGACTGCCCCTTCCTAGGTCTAGAGTTTCATTGATCAGGTACAAGGATTCTTGCCCCATCCTACATCATCGAGCCCCTACTTGCAGCTCCCTGATTGCACTTCCAAATCGCTTATAGGCTCGGTTGGCCAATAGGTCCTTTCTATTTTGCTATATTTTTATTTTTATTTTTATTTTTATTTATTTTAATTAGATAAATCTATTGAAATATGGTATGCTACTAGTGAATATTTGAGATTTCTTCATTTATCTAAAAAATAAGGCTATAGAAATCATATAAATTCATATTAAATTACATAATTAGCTAAAAAATTATGTTAATCAACTAAAAACTACTTTTCACACTTTAACACAAATATAAATATATTTATCATGAGCTAAGGCTAAAACTATATTATTTATTAATTATTAACTCGTGATAATGAAGACTTATCACTAGGGCTCTTATACCATATTGACAATTCAAAAACAAACCCTAAAATACATACCAACATTAGAGGACTACATCTATAGAGCCCTAATAGGTCTCAATGGGCCAGACACTATCAAAAAATTAATAATATATTTTTAGTTTTAAATTATTATAAATAGACTTATATTTATATTAAATAATGAAAAGTGGTTTTTATTTAGTTATTGTGAATTTTTAGCTAATTATGTGATTTTATGTGAATTTATATAATTTTATAATCCTATTTTTAAGATAAATAAAGAGAAATAAGATAAAATAAAAATATATAAAAAGGGAGAAACTTGTTGGCTTGTTAGGCCTATGATAAGTCTTCATTATCATGAGTTAATAATTAGTAAATAATATAGTTTTAGCCTTAACTCATGATAAATAGACTTATATTTGTGTTAAAGCATGAAAAGTGGTTTTCAGTTGATTAACGTGAATTTTTGGGTAATTATGTGATTTTATACGATTTTTACAGTCTTAGTTTTGAGATAAATGAAGAACAAGAAATAAAAATAAAAATATTGCAAAATGGGAGAATCCGCCGGCCAGCCGGGCCCGCAAGCGGGTCGGAAGCGCAGTCGGGGAGTAGCCGCGAGCAGGGGACTCGAGCGGCATGCTTGGATCGATAGGGGCACGTGTGCGCCACTCCCCTTCCACGTCACCGGTGGTCAGCCGGCTGAGGGGCAAGGAGTGATCGTACACGCGAGAGGACTTTGCTATATATTCGCCCGAATAATCCGCGCACAACCAATGTGGGACTAAATCCACCTTGTAAGGGGCGGGCGACCGCCGCGGGTTCGAATCCTCCCAGAGTCAAAATTCATATATTTTTAACTGATTATCGCGACTTTCCTGCAGATCGCCGGTGAAGGATTAAGCAACCGGAATCGCTGAATCATCGGTGAAAATCTCGTCAACGCGATTCGCGGAGCATTGCTACTAAAATTTCTGAACGATTCGCAGTAAAAGGATCGCAATCCATCGAGTAAATCATCTCCGATTGATCGACGAACAAGCCGTCGTCGGGAAGAGGACGATCCGCCGGGAGACCAGTCGCCACCTCCTGAGAGCGTACCAGATGCGATGAAGAGCCTCCTCTTGCTGCGCGGACCTGAGGATGAAGCTCCCTAACATGCGCCTCACCTCCATCTAGCCCCTCTCCGTCGGGTGACAGCCGCCGGAGAGCCGCAAAGTCGCCGTTTTTCCGCTCCGCCGGGTGACAGCCGCCGGAGACGATTCGACGACCCACTTCATTGGGCTCTAGACTTCGCGAGAAGATCTAGAGATTGCCCACGTCGTCTTTGTCCAAGGAGAGCCTTCGAGGCCGTGGACACTGCACGACGACCCTCCCGAACGCTCAGGATTCCGGTGCATCGCCGACGCGTCGCCGTCGCGACGCTGGAACTCTGTTTTCCTGCTTTATCTAGAGATTGCCACGTCGTCTTTGTCCAAGGAGAGCCTTTGAGGCCGTGGACACTGCACGACGATCCTCCCGAACGCTCAGGATTCTGGTGCATCACCGACGCATCGCCGTCGCAACGCTGGAACTCTATTTTCCTGCTTTCAATTTAATTTACGCTTCATTTAGTGATACTTTGTTGATTTTTATTTACCAAACTATACTTCGTTCAATTACGATTCTTCCGGCTTTTACAGATCTTAATTTGATTAATTGAGTCGTCTGTAATCGCCTACGTAAGAATCGCCGGGCGGAACTCTGTTTCCACCTGATTTGCGTTCGCCGGGTGCTGACGTCATCCTGACGTTCGCACCCTTATTTCCTTTTTTTTTGTGAATTTTAAATATATTTCCTTTTTATTTCCTAGTATAAAATTCGTAAGAAAATCGTACTCATTGAGAAAAATTCTGAATAATTACCAGATATTATATTACATCCCTGTGATCGACCTAGAAAATTACCGCTATTTTTGGAATTTTTATTGAATTATAATTGATATATTTATTTAGAAATACTTCTAAATATCCGAAAATTCGTATTTTCTAGTTTTATAAATTTTATATTTGCGTGATTTAACATACAACGACTGAGTCACGTCAAATTTTGGCGCCGTTGCCGGGGATGTATTGCATAATATTTAGTATTTTTCTGTTTTTCTCTTAGAGTACACAAAAAAAAAACTTTACTCTTGTTTTATTTTCTTTTTGCTGATTTTTATTAGAAAAAGGGAACAAAAAGAAGCACGGCAAGGACTGGAGCATCCTGAAGGAGGGTAACAGTTACTAACTTTTTCCCTCGAATTTATTGATTTTTATGCATGGTAGAAGATCCTTGCATCCAAGGCTAGAAAATCCTTTCATTATTTCATTCAAAAATAAAAATCCAAAAGAAAAATTAATTTTGATGGATCCTGAAGGAAGTACAGGTCAAACTGAGAACAATCCTATGGCCATGAAAAATCATTATATCCCTGATTCATTTCAAAGAGCATCTAATATTAGAGTCCCATTAGCACCCACTGTTAAATTCGAAATAAATCCAGGAATTTTTCAAATGCTCCCTAATTTTCATGGATTGCCTTTAGAGGAACCTCATCAGCACTTAGAAAAATTTCATATGGTCTGTGATTTAGTTAATCTCCCTCAAGTTACACCGGAAATTATTAAGATGAAATTATTCCCTCATACACTTAGGGACAAAGCTAGTCATTGGCTATCCACATTAGATAGAGAATTAACTAGCTGGAAAGATATAGAACAGGCCTTTCTTCGAAAATTTTATCCCTTAGGAAAAACTCAAAATATGAGAAAACATATATGGAGTTTTTCTCAAAGACCAGGAGAAACTTTGCATGAGACATGGGAAAAATTCAAAGATTTACTTAGAAAGTGTCCTCATCATGCTATACCCAAGTGGCAGCTCAATAGAATTTTTTATGATGGATTATTAGAACAACATAGAAATATGGTTGATTCTATATGTGGAGGAGCTTTTATGGAGAAAACTCCTGATGAGATTTACAGTCTTTATGAGAATTTAAGTGAAAATTCTAGAGATCAAGCCTCTTTTGAATTATATGACAAGGAAATGAAGAGAGAAATTTATGAATTGCATCATGATGATGATTCTAAACTTAGAAATGAGGTTAATCAGATTAATCAAAGATTAGAAAAAATTGATTTACTTATTGATAATATTAGAAAGCCTTTTAACCCTCAACTTAATTCGAATAGTACATGTCCTATGTATGGTGAAAATGATTATTCTGAACTTCAATGTTATAATTTAGATCAATCATTTCACCCTATGCAAGAACAAGTGCAAGTAGCTCACGGTTTTAATAGAAATAGGGAACATTTTTCAAATTCTTATAATCCTAATTGGAGGAATAATTTTTCATGGAGAGACCCAAATAATATTCAAAATCCAGAAGCACTTAGACCCAATTCAAACTCTGAATTTCGTCCAAAACAAGAAAATAGATTTCAGAAAAATCAGCCCTCTCAAACCCAACCTGATGCTATGGAAATGATGCAGCAAATGAGCCAAATGATGCAACAAACTATGAATCAAATGATGCAACAAACTATGAATCAAATGATGCTTCATCAGAAACAAATTATAGAGGCTCTTGGGAATAAGAGAGAAGAGGGACAGCTACCTAGTCAGCCCATAGAAAATTCAGAAAACTGTCCAACAGTAAGATTTCAGCAAGAAGAGTCTAACTGGATAAATTTAGAAAAAAACCCACGAAATGAAAATGTTAGGACAGTGAATACATTGAGTGAGAATATTTTACCTGATCCTTATTTCCAATTATTAGAAGAAATTGATGATCCATTAGAAGTAAATGAGGATATTAAGGGCAAAAATATAGTAGCAGAAAATTTGAATAAAATCATTTATTGCTCACAATTGATGAATGAATATAGTGAGGATGATGAGGAGAAAGAACCCTTAGATGAAGAAACAGCGACTGATCATAGAAAAATCATCCAAATTTCAGTAGAAGGGAGTAAGGACAGAAATGAAGAAAAATATATTTCAGGGGAGGAAAAATCAATTGATTTGGGAGATGTAGGAGACGAAATTAATGAATCTAATCATAATTTTGCAGCCATGGATGTTGATTGTGAGGATGATGATGTATATCATATACCAAAATTAAAAGATAGCTCTTGGGAAGATGAAGAATTTGATGAGTTGAGAAACGAAAAGCTAGAAAAAGAATTGATTCAACTAATGGGAACAAGCAAAAATAATAGATGTGAATATAGAAATAATTTTGGAGGAGAAAATTTGAATTTTACTGAATTCATTAGATCTGAGATTAAAGAAGACAATCCTTCCATCCTTCAAAACCCACAGCCCATTAGAATTACTTCTAAGCTTGAAATATTTCACTCCTCACAAATTGAACAAATATGTATGGAAGATAAAATAGAGCAGGGGAAGATTATGCAGATAAAAGAAGACATTAAGAAATGGGTGAGTGGAAGAATTAGAGATACCAATTTAGATGAAAAAATTTTAGATTGGGCAAGAGCTAATCTGAAAATTATATGGCCTGATCACATTTTATGGTTTATTAATAGAAAGTATTTATTAATGAATGAGAGCCTAACAAAACAAGATAGAAATAAGGAAAGATTCTTTTCAAAATGGAAATATTATTTTTGGGAAAATTTTGTTAATTTCCATTTTGTTTTGGCTGAAAGTATGTCAAGGTATATATATGAAGTATATGAATTTATGCTAAATCTGAAAAAGAATATCATAAAACTTACCTTGGGATACAAATATATTTTGATGGCCATAGATCAGCTTATATGATATAAGAGCTGTCCAGCTGGAGACATTAAATTCAGCGCTGCATGGGAGGCAACCCATGGTTTTTATTTCATTTTGTTTGATCTCTGTTTTTCTTAGAATTTCGCAGTACTTGTTTCTGTGTTTGTTTTTCTTTCGAAAAAGTGCAGGAGGAGGAGTGTAAGATGAAGTGGAAAATTAAAAACGAGGTTGAGGTGATGTCTTTCTGAGCTTCATCATTTATGAAAATATTTTTAATGCTTAACTTTGCAGATATGCATGCTTCACTTGAAAATTATATTTTCTGCATATTCTGTTTCGAGTTTTCTGTGTCATTGAGGACAATGTCATTTTTAAGTTGGGGGGTGAAGTATTCATTATTAATTTATGCTGTAGGACGATTAAGAACATGTGTTTGCATTTTATTCAACTTAGAACAGCAACTAAAAAAATAAAAATAAAATAAAATTCGGAAAAACTGCAACATCTATTTTCTGGTTTTCTGTCAGGAACAACAGACTGTCAAAAACAGCAGATGAAAAAACAACCCGAAATTTGAAATTCTAGAGACCCTTTTCTCACATTTCAATCCCGTAGACATATATTACTGAAATTCGAAATTACAGCTATAAAGAAGATAGTTTTGATTTATTTTTGACAAATTTATTGCTGCTAAAATAGAACTGAAAACAGAAAACAGAACTGTCAGAACTATCTAATTTACAAATTCCTTACATCATATTGCATGCATGAAAAATTAAATCAATTAGATTGATTGATACTAAAAGATACTAGGAAGATTATTATTGAGTCAAAAGAATGATCTAGTAGCATGAAATGTTGGAATACTCCTTGGATACATGATAGATAACATGGATTTGATTTTATAGATTTTCACTTCATGATCTTGATGGATAATATTTACTTGATGTGAAAATTTGATTGATCATTTGAGTTTAATGGAGATTTTTGCACCCTGATCTATAGGACTTGTGAGGAGAAATCACTTATTTCAAAAAAAAAAAAGAAAAAAAAAGAGAGAGCAATGTGAAAAATCTAGAAACGAAGAGTACACATGGAGGGTGTGAGACATCATTCTCATTGTCGAAAATCGTGCATAGAAAAACACTTGCTGAAAAATAAGTGGATAAAGTGAAAGCCCTGAAAATGAAGAGTACACATGGAGGGTGTGAGACATCATTCTTATTGTCGAAATTTGTCTACAGGAAAAGCTACTTATCCACTATTTATAAAAAAAAAAAAAGAAGGAAGAAATATAGTGCAAACTTCAAAAATTAAGTCATAGAAAAAGGGAAATGTAAGATCAATATTATTCTTGGATGAGTATTGATAATTGGAACATCTTGTAAATACATCTATGAGTGAAGAAGTGATAAAGATGTGAATAGAAGAAGTGAAGTCTAGATTGTTATTCCAAGGAGTGTTTAAACATTTAAGTGCTTGACATCATTCTTAAATACTTGATATAAGAATCCAAAGTGTTTAAAGGTGCATCATTTCTAATTGTATTTCTTTTCTGTATTGAAATATGATGTTTGAGATTTGTAAATTTTTATTTTCGTAATTCCATTGCTAAGGGACTAGCAATGATTTAAGTTGGGGGGTGTGATAAGTCTTCATTATCATGAGTTAATAATTAGTAAATAATATAGTTTTAGCCTTAACTCATGATAAATAGACTTATATTTCTGTTAAAGAATGATTTTTGGTTTTCAATTGATAAACGTGAATTTTTGGGTAATTATGTGATTTTATATGATTTTTACAGTCCTACTTTTGAGATAAATGAAGAACAAGAAATAAAAATAAAAATATTGCAAAAATTGGGAGGACCCGCCGGCCAGCCGTGCCCGCAAGTGGGTCGGAAGCACAGTCGGGGAGTAAGCCGCGAGCAAGGGCTCGAGCGGCTAGGCTTGGGGACCAACAGGCACGCGTACGCCACTCCCCTTCCACGTCACCGATGGCCAGCCGGCTGTGGGGCAAGGAGTGGTCGTACACGCGAGAGAAGGGACTTTGCTCACAAAGCTAACATTACTATATATTCGCCCGAAAACTCGGCATACAACCGATGTGGGACTAAACCCACACCTTCCTCAGAAGAGGCGGGGGCGACCGGCGCGGGTTCGAATCCTCCCAGAGTCAAAATTCATATATTTTTATCTGATTATCGCGACTTTCCTGCAGATCGCCGGTGAAGGATTAAGCAATGAGAATCGCTGGATCATCAGCGAAAATCTCGTCAACGCGATTCGTGGAGCATTGCTACTAAAATTGCTGAACGATTCGCGATAAAAGGATCGCGAATCCATCGAGTAAATCATCTCCGATTGATCGACGAACAAGCCGTCGTCGAGAAGAGGACGATCCGCCGGGAGACCAGTCGCCACCTCCTGAGAGCGTACCAGATGCGATGAAGAGCCTCCTCTTGCTGCGCGGACTTGAGGATGAAGCTCCCTAACACGCGCCTCACCTCCATCCAGCCCCTCTCCGTCGGGTGACAGCCGCCGGAGAGCCGCAAAGTCGCCGTTTTTCCGCTCCGCCGGGTGACAGCCGCCGGAGACGATTCGACGACCCACTTCATTGGTCTCTAGACTTCGCGAGAAGATCTAGAGATTGCCCACGTCGTCTTTGTCCAAGGAGAGCCTTCGAGGTCGTGGACACTGCACGATGACCCTCCCGAACGCTCAGGATTCCAGTGCATCGCCGACGTGTCGCCGTCGCGACGCCGGAACTCTGTTTTCCTGCTTTATCTAGAGATTGCCCACGTCGTCTTTGTCCAAGGAGAGCCTTCGAGGCCGTGGACACTGCACGACGATCCTCCCGAACGCTCAGGATTCCGGTGCATCGCCGACGCATCGCCGTCGCGACGCCAGAACTCTGTTTTCCTGCTTTCAACTTACTTTACGCTTCATTTAGTGATAGTTTTTGTGATTTTAATTTACCAAAATATACTTTGTTCTATTACGATTCTTCCTGCTTTTACAGATCTTAATTTGATTAATTAAATCGTCTGTAATCGCTTACGTAAGAATCGCCGGGCGGAACTCTGTTTCTGCCCGATTCGCGTTCGCCGGGTGCTGACGTCATCCTGACGCCCGCACCCTTATTTCCCTTTTTCGTGAATTTTAAATATATTTCCTTTTTATTTCCTAGTATAAAATTCATAGAAAATCGTATTCATTGAGAAAAATTCTGAATAATTACCAAATATTACATCCCTGTGATCGACCTGGAAAATTACTGCTATTTTTGGAATTTTTATTGAATTATAATTGATATATTTATTTAGAAATACTTCTAAATATCCGAAAATTCGTATTTTCTAGTTTTATAAATTTTATATTTGCGTGATTTAACATACAACGACTGAGTCACGTCAGCCTACAAGTAGATTTGAAGTTGATAAGTCTTCATTATCATCAGTTAATAATTAATAAAGAGAATAGTAGTTTTTAGTTGGTTAATGTGATTTTTTAGCAAATTATGTGATTTTATGAAAATTAATATAATTTTTATAATCCTATTTTTGAGATAAATGAAGGAAAAAATAAAAAATAAAATGATAGAAAAAGAGGGGGACTTGCTGGCTAGTTGGGCATACAAGTGGGTTGGAAGCACAATTAGGGCAGAGCCACAAGCAAGGGCTCGAGTGGCTATAGACTGATGGGGTCATGTGTGCGTCACTACCCTTCTACATCATTAGTGGCTAGCTTGGTGTGGGGTAAGGAGTGATTGTACACATGCAAGAAAGGGATTCATTGAGTGCATTTAAGTTCTGCATATTTCAGGAATGGGTTCTAACACCACCTTACTCCTCTTCTTCTATTGGTTAGCAAATTTGAAGCTTATCCCCTCAGCTAGTACAACTAGGCCTTTGGCTATAGCTGAGCTCCTTGTAGTTGGGCTTTGGGTTGCATGTTTGGGCCTTGGTTTTCAGCTGGACCCCAACTGACTTCTTGAGCCTTTACTCTAGATGGACTTCATTTAGACTTCATAAAAATATGCATGCATAGCCTTGGCACCAGCTGGACCTTGGCTGGGCTCATAGAGATCCACATTGTGCTCCAAGCTTCAGCTCATGTTCCATTGGTCAAGCCCTTGTAGGCCCATTGGCTGGGCACGCCTCCAAGTCCTTGGGTTTGTCTTTGGCCCAATTGTTCTTTGCTTAGACTTTGGAATTTTATCTCTTTTCTTCTCAATAGAGGCCTAATACTCTACACATGCAAGCTTAGAGAATAATCAATAGAATATGTGTGAAAATCCTTAGTTTAGGTACATCAAAGCATGAATGTATGCATGTTTTAGGATATTTGAGAACATATTCTCTCTCTTTTTCACGTAGGCAGACGATTGGCGCAAGTTTGAATCCTATCAGAGCCAAAACTCATATTTTTATTTCACTAAATCTCAACTTTCCTACAAATCTCCAAGAAGGATTAAGCCACTAGAATCACTCGATCATTGACAAAAATCTTGTCAATATAATTTGTGGAGTATTGTTACTGAAATTGTTAAGCGATTCATGATAAAAGAATCACAAATGTATTGAGTAAAGCATCTTTGATTGATTGATAAACAAACTGTCATTAAGAAGACAAGATGCCACCTTTTGAGAGCATACCAAATATGATGAAGAACTTCCTCTTACTACGTCTCACCTCTATCTAACTCTTCTCTATCAAGTGACAATCACTAGAGAGCTGCAAAGTCACTATTTTTCTGCTCCACCAGGTGTCAGTTGTCGAAGATGATTCGATAATCCATTTCATTGATCTCTAGACTTCACAAGAAGATCTAGAGATTGTCCACGTTGTTCTTATCTAAAGAGAGCCTTCAAGGTTGTGGACACTATACGACAATCCTCCCAAATGTTCAGAATTCTGGTGCATCATTGACACATCACTATTAGGACGTCAAAACTTTGTTTTCTTTAACTTAATTTTTACCTCATTTAGTGATAATTTGTGTGATTTAAATTTACCAAACTATTCTTCATTCAATTGCGATTCTTCTAACTTTTATAAATCTTAATTTGATCACTTAAACTATATATAATCACTTACAAAAGAATCACTAGATGAAACTCTATTTTTGCCCGATTTGTGTTCATTAGACACTGACATCATCTTGATATCTGCACCCTTATTTCCCTTTTTTGCAGGTCTTAAATATATTTTATTTTTATTTCTTAATCTAAAATTCATAAAACATCGTATTCTTTGAAAAACATTCTAAAAAATTATCTAATACTATATTACATCTTTGTGGTTGACCTGAAATTTTTTTACTATTTTTAGAACTTTTTGTGAATTATAATTAATATATTTATTCAGAAATACTTCTAAATATTTGAAAATTAGTATTTTCTAGTTTTATAAATTTTAAATTTGCATGATTTACTATACGATGACTAAGTCACACTAATGTTCATTCTTTTTCTAAGTTCTCCAAAACTCATTTGAGATCAAGCTAAATTTATTTCTGACTTATTTTTTAGTGATTTTCATAGTTGAATCTCGATGTATTCATATTCCCTATTGATAAGTCTTCATTATCATGAGTTAATAATTAGTAAATAATATAGTTTTAGCCTTAACTCATGATAATAGACTTATATTTATGTTAAAGTGTGAAAAGTGGTTTTCAATTGATTAATGTGAATTTTTGGGTAATTATGTCATTTTATACAAATTTATATGATTTTTATAGTCTTAGTTTTGAGATAATTGAAGATAAAGAAAGAAAAATAAAAATAAAGCAAAATGGGGGGGACCCATCAGCCCAGCCAAGCCATGAGTAGGGGCTCAAGTGGCTTGAACCGATAGGGGCATGTGTGCGCCAGTCCCCTTCCACATCGCCAGTGGCCAGCTAGCTATGGGGCAAGGAGTGGTCATACACGCATGAGAAAGGGACTTACTTCTAAATGTAACATTGCTATATATTCCACTGAAATTTCGGTGCACAACCGATGTCGGACTAAACCTGCATGACACCTTCCTCAAAAAGGGCTGGTGACGTGACTCAGTCGTTGTATATTAAATCACGCAAATATAAAATTTATAAAACTAGAAAATACGAATTTTCGGATATTTAGAAGTATTTCTAAATAAATATATCAATTATAATTCAATAAAATCCAAAAATAGCGGTAATTTTCCAGGTCGATCACAGGGATGTAATATAATATCTGGTAATTATTCAGAATTTTTCTCAATGAATACGATTTTCTTACGAATTTTATACTAGGAAATAAAAAGGAAATATATTTAAAATTTACGAAAAAAAGGAAATAAGGGTGCGGGCGTCAGGATGACGTCAGCGCCAGGCGAACGCGAATCAGGCGGAAACAGAGTTCCGCTCGGCGATTCTTACGTAAGCGATTACAGACGACTTAATTAATCAAATTAAGATCTGTAAAAGCCGGAAGAATCGTAATTTAACGAAGTATAGTTTGGTAAATTAAAAATCACACAAAGTATCACTAAATAAAGCGTAAATTAAATTGAAAGCAGGAAAACAGAGTTCCGGCGTCGCGACGGCGATGCGTCGGCGATGCACCGGAATCCTGAGCGTTCGGGAGGATCGTCATGTAGTGTCCACGGCCTCGAAGGCTCTCCTTGGACAAAGACGACGTGGGCAATCTCTAGATAAAGCAGGAAAACAAAGTTCCGGCGTCGCGACGGCGACGCGTCGGCGATGCACCGGAATCCTGAGCGTTTGGGAGGGTCGTCGTGCAGTGTCCACGGCCTCGAAGGCTCTCCTTGGACAAAGACGACGTGGGCAATCTCTAGATCTTCTCGCGAAGTCTAGAGACCAATGAAGTGGGTCGTCGAATCGTCTCCGGCGGCTGTCACCCGGCGGAGCGGAAAAACGGCGACTTTGCGGCTCTCCGGCGGCTGTCACCCGACGGAGAGGAGCTGGATGGAGGTGAGGCACGTGTTAGGGAGCTTCATCCTCAGGTCCGCGCAGCAAGAGGAGGCTCTTCATCGTATCTGGTACGCTCTCAGGAGGTGGCGACTGGTCTCCCGGCGGATCGTCCTCTTCCCGATGACGGCTTGTTCGTCGATCAATCGGAGATGATTTACTCGATGGATTGCGATCCTTTTATCGCGAATCGTTCAGAAATTTTAGTAGCAATGCTCCGCGAATCGCGTTGACGAGATTTTCGCCGATGATCCAGCGATTCCGGTTGCTTAATCCTTCACCGGCGATCTGCAGGAAAGTCGCGATAATCAGTTAAAAATATATGAATTTTGACTCTGGGAGGATTCGAACCCGCGGCGGTCGCCCGCCCCTGAAGAAGGTGGATTTAGTCCCACATCGGTTGTGCGCGGATTATTTGGGCGATTATATAGTAAAGTTAGCTTTGTAGGCAAAGTCCTCTCGCGTGTACGACCACTCCTTGCCCCACAACCGGCTGACCACCGGTGACGTGGAAGGGGAGTGGCGCACACGTGTCCCTATCGATCCAAGCAAGCCACTCCAGCCCTTGCTCGCGGTTACTCCCCGACTGCGCTTCCGACCCGCTTGCGGGCCCGGCTGGCCGGCGGATCCCCCCATTTTGCAATATTTTTATTTTTATTTCTTGTTCTTCGTTTTATCTCAAAACTAAGATTGTAAAAATCGTATAAAATCACATAATTACCCAAAAATTCACGTTAATCAACTGAAAACCACTTTTCATGCTTTAACACAAATATAAGTCTATTTATCATGAGTTAAGGCTAAAACTATATTATTTACTAATTATTAACTCATGATAATGAAGACTTATCAGCTGGCAACCAGCACGGGTTCAAATCCTCTTAGAGCCAAAGCTCATATTTTTTATCTGATTATCATGACTTTCTTGTAGATCGTCGATGAAGGACTAAGTAACCAAAATCACTAGATCATCAACAGAAATCTTGTCAACTAAAATTTCTAAATGATTCGCAATAAAAGGATTACAAATCCATCGAGTAAAGTATCTCTGATTGATCGATGAACAAGTCATCGTCAGAAAGAGGAGGATCTACTAAGAGACGAGTCGCCACCTCTTGAAAATGTATCGAATGCAATAAAGAGCCTCTTCTTGTTGTGTGGACCTGAGGATGAAGCTCCCTGACACACACCCCACCTCCATCCAACTCCTCTCCATTAGGTGACAGCTATCAGAGAGCTGCAAAGTCATCATTTTTCCGCTTTGTCAAGTGACAGCTGTTGGAGACGATTCAACGACTCATTTCATTGATATCTAGACTTCACAAGGAGATCTAGAGATTTCTCACATTGTCTTTGTCTAAAGAGAACCTTCAAGGCCATAGATACTACACGACAATCCTCTCGAATGCTTAGGATTTCGGTGCATCGCCGACGCATCACCGCCGCAACACTGGAACTCTATTTTCTTGCTTTCAACTTAATTTTCTTTTCATTTAGTGATAATTTGTTGATTTTAAATTTACCAAGATATATTTTATTTCATTACGATTCTTCTGGCTTTTATAGATCTTAATTTGATCAATTAAATCTTCTATAATCACTTATGTAAGAATCGTCAAGTGGAACTCTATTTTCACTCGATTTATATTTGTCGGGTGCTGACATTATCTTGACGTCTGTACCCTTATTTCCTTTTTCTGTGAATTTTAAATATATTTTCTTTTTATTTCTTAGTATAAAATTGATAGAAAATAATATTCTTTGCAAAAAATTCTGAATAATTACTAGATATTATATTGAAATAAATTGAATAATTTGGAATAATCCTTGTGATCACTTGGAAAATTATCACTATTTTTGGAAGTTTTATTGAATTATAATTGATATATTTATTTAGAAATACTTCTAAATATCTGAAAAATTATATTTTCTAATTTTATAAATTTTAGATTTGCATGATTTAATATAAAATGACTAAGTCACGTCACTTGTGTTATGTGAATAATGAGTATTTTTTTGTTGTCGAATGTGAAATCACCAAAAGTAAAGGCTGATTAATGAGCATTCAACTATTAAAACAAATTGGAGATATTCATGACTGAGCTCATGTCATGTGTGTAAATTTTTGAGTACACATTTGTCCGTATTAATATGTTGACCTTATTTTTTTCTTTCTTTAGTTTCATTTTATTCTCTCTCTCCCTCTCTCATGAGACCTCTCTTCTCTTTCCGTCTCTTGTGAAATCTCTCCCTTTCTCCCCCTATCTCTCATTCAATCTCCTTCTCTTTCTCTCTGTCTCTCTTGAGACTTTTCTCTCTCTTCATCTCATGTGAGATTTCTCTTCTCCTCTCTTTTTCTCTCCCTTTCACGAGAGATCCCATCCCTTCTTATCTCTTGTGAGAGCTCTCTCTTCTCTCTCTCTTTTCTTCCTTTCTTTTTCTTCACTTCACTTCCTTTATTCTTCTCACCTCACCATTTTATTTTATTATTTATATTAAATATTAATAACATATTAATTACTTTATATATGAACTAAATTAGTTTTCACAATAGATTAATTAATATCTTAGTATTTGACTTGAGAATTATTTCTATACTAATATTTTATTAAGTCTTAGTTATAAATATTATTAGATAGTGTGCATTTAAACACAATGACAAGCGCACTTTATTCGATATGGCCTAATAAGTCTTCATTATCATGAGTTAATAATTAGTAAATAATATAGTTTTAGCCTTAAGTCATGATAAATAGACTTATATTTGTGTTAAAGTGTGAAAAGTGGTTTTCAATTGATTAATGTGAATTTTGGATAATTATGTGATTTTATACAAATTTATATGATTTTTATAATCTTACTTTTGAGACAAATGTATAAAGAGAAATAAAATAAAAATAAAGTAAAACCGAGGGGCGACCCACCAACCAGCCGAGCTCACAAGCGGGTCAGAAACGCAGTCAAGGAGGGGTCACGAGTAAGGGCTCAAGTGGCTAGGACCAATAAGCGCATGTGTGTACCACTCCCCTTTCACATCACTAGTGGCTAGCTAATTGTGGGGCAAAGAGTGGTCGTACACATGTGAGAAAGGGACTTGATTGTAAATATAATATTACTACATATCCGCTTGAAACTTCAATGTACAAGCAATGTGGAACTAAACCCGTGTCACACCTTTCTCAGAAAAGGTTTGATATTTTAAATACCTAAAATACCTCTTATTTGTAATAGAGATATACCATAATGACGCCATTTGATAATGACATTAGAGTACTTGTGTCAATCTCTCTCATGTAGATAAGTAATTAATATGGGTTTGAATCCTCTTAGAATCAAAACTCATATTTTTTATCTAATTATCACAACTTTCCTACAAATCATTGGTGAAAGATTAAGTCGTGATGTGACTTATTCGTTGTATAGTAAATCATGCAAATTTAAAATTTATAAAACTAGAAAATATAAATTTTTGGATATTTAAAAATATTTTTGAACAAATATATCAAGTATAATTCAATAAAACTTTCAAAAATAGTGATAATTTTCTAAGTTGATCATAAGGACGTAATATAATATCAAGTAATTATTCAAAATTTTCCTCAAAGAATACTATTTTTTATGAATTTTATACTAGAAAATAAAAATGAAAGATTATTAAAATTCACGAAAAAGGGAAATAAGGGTGCAGATGTCAAGATGACATTAGTGCCTAACGAACGTGAATCAAGCAAAAATAGAGTTCTGTCTAGTAATTCTTATGTAAGCGATTACAAACGATTTAATTGATCGAATTAAGATCTATAAAAGTCAAAAGAATTGTAATTGAACAAAGTATATCTTGATAGATTTGAATCACACAAATTATTACTAAATGAAGTGGAAATTAAGTTGAAAGTAGGAAAATAGAGTTTGGTATTGTGGTGGCGATGCCTCGGGGATGCACTAGAATTCAGAGTGTTTAGGATGATCATTGTGCATTGTCCATGGCCTTGAAGGCTCTCCTTAGACAAGGACGACGTGGGAAATCTCTAGATCTCTTTGTGAGGTCTAGAGATCAATGAAATAGGTCATTGAATCGTCTTCGGCAGCTGTCACCTAGCGGAGTGGAAAAATGGCAACTTTGCGACTCTCTAATGGCTATCACCCAATGAAGAGGAGCTGGATGGAGGTGGGGCATGTGTTAAGGAGCTTTATCCTCAGGTCCGCATAGTAAGAGGAGGCTTTTCATCACATCTTGTACACTCTCAGGAGGTAGCGACTTGTCTCTCGACGAATCATCCTCTTCTTGACGATGACTTATTTGTTGATCAATCAAAGATGCTTTACTCGATTGATTTGTGATCTTTTTATCGCAAATCATTTAAAATTTTTAGTAACAATGCTTTGCGAATCGCATTGATGAGATTTTTGCTGATGATATATGATAAGTCTTCATTATCATGATTTAATAAATAGTAAATAATATAATTTTAGCTTTAACTCATGATAAATAGACTTATATTTGTGTTAAATGTGAAAAATGGTTTTCAGTTGATTAATATGAATTTTTGACTAATTATGTGATTTTATATGATTTTTACAATCTTACTTTTGAGATAAATGAAGGAAAAGAAATTAAAATAAAAATATAGCAAAATGAGGGGGGGCCATCGCAAGTAGGGACTCAAGTGGCTTGAACTGATGGGGGCACGTGTGCACCACTCCCCTTCCACGTCACTAGTGGAAAGGCAAGGAGTGTGGGGCAAGGAGTGGTCGTACACGTACGAGAAAGGGACTTGATTGGAAATATAATATTACTTTATATTCACTAGAAACTTCGGCAGACAACTAGTGTGGGACTAAACCTATGTCACCTTCCCCAAAAGGGCGGGCAACTAACATGGGTTTGAATCATCCTAGAGCCAAAACTCATATTTTTTTATCTAATTATCGTGAATTTTTTACAGATCGCCGGTGAAGGATTAAGTAACTAGAATTGCTAGATTATTAACGAAAATCTCATCAACACGATTCACGGAACATTATTACTAAAATTACTAAACAAGCTGTCATTGGGAAGATGACGATCTGTTGGGAGACGAGTTGTCACCTCTTGAGAGCATACCAGATGCGATGAAGAGCCTCCTCTTGTTGCACAGACTTGAGGATGAAGCTCCCTAACATGCGCCCCACCTCCATCTAGTTCCTCTCCATTAGGTGACAGCCGCAAAGTCGCCATTTTTCCGCTCTACCGAGTAACAGCCACCGGAGTCGATTCGACGACTCATTTCATTGATCTCTAGACTTTGCAAGGAGATCTAGAGATTGCCCACGTCGTCTTTGTCCAAGGGGAGCCTTCAAGGTCGTGAATAGTGCACAATGATCCTCCTAAATGCTTAGGATTCTGATGCATCACCAATGCATTGCTGCCGTGACACCAAAACTTTGTTTACCTACTTTCAACTTACTTTTTGCTTTATTTAGTTATAATTTATGTGATTTTAATTTACCACAATATACTTCATTCAATTACGATTCTTCTAGCTTTTACAGATCCTAATTTGATCAATTAAATTGTCTATAATTGCTTATGTAAGAATCATTGGGTGGAACTCTATTTTCGCCTGATTCGCGTTCACCGGGCGTTGACGTCATTCTAACGTCTGCACCCTTATTTCCTTTTTTGTGAATTTTAAATATATTTCCTTTTCATTTCTTAGTATAAAATTTATAGAAAATAGTATTCTTTGAGGAAAATTTTAAATAATTACTAGATATTATATTTCATCCTTGTGATTGACCTTGAAAATTATCATTATTTTTGAAAGTTTTATTGAGTTATAGTTGATATATTTGTTCAAAAATACTTCTAAATATTCAAATATTTGTATTTTCTAGTTTTATAACTTTTAAATTTGTGTGATTTAATATACAATGACTGAGTCACGTCAATATAGCAATTTTAGTTGCTTAATCCTTTACTGGAGATCTACAAGAAAGTCATGATAATTAGATAAAAAATATAAGTTTTGGCTCTAGGAGGATTCAAACCCATATTGATTGCCTGCCCTTTCTAGGGAAGGTGTGACACGGGTTTAGTCCCACATCAATTGTGCGCCGAAGTTTCTGGTGACTATATAGTAATATTACATTTCTAATGAAGTATTTTTTCAAGTGTGTACGATCACTCCTTGCCCCACAACCAGCTAGCCACCAGTGACGTGGAAGGAGAGTGGCGCACACATGCCCCCATCGGTCCTAGCCGCTTGAGCCCCTACTTACAGCTCCTCCCTGACTATCCTTCCGACCCACTTGTGGGCATAGCTGGCCGATAGGTCCCCCCTATTTTGCTATATTTTTATTTTAATTTTTTTTTCTTCATTTATCTTAAAAGTAAGACTATAAAAATCATCTAAATTTGAATAAAATTACATAATTATCTAAATACTCACGTTAATCAACTAAAAACCACTTTTCACACATTAATAAAAATTTATCTATTTATCATGAGTTAAAGCTAAAACTATATTATTTACTAATTATTAACTCATGATAGTGAAGACTTATCAGGCCACTAGAATCGCTAGATCATTGATGAAAATCTTGTCAACGTGATTCATAGAACATTGTTACTAACATTGTTGAATGATTCACGATAAAAGGATTGTGAATCTATTGAGTAAAGCATCTCTGATTGATCGATGAACAAGTCATCATCAGGAATAGGACAATCCTCTAGGAGACGAGTCACCACCTCTTGAGAGCATACCAAATGCAATGAAGAGCCTCCTCTTACTATGCAAACCTAAGGATGAAGTTCTTTAACATGCGCCCCGCCTCTATTCAGCTCTTATCTGTTGGCTGACAATTGCCAAAGAGCCACAAAATTACTATTTTTTCACTTTGCCAGGTGACAACTATTGAAGATGATTCGATGACCTATTTCATTGATCTCTAGACTTTGCAAGAAGATCAATAGACTGCCTACGTCATCCTTGTCCAAGGAGAGATTTTGAGGCCACAGACACAACACGACGATCCTCTCGAACACTTAGAATTTTGGTGCATCGCTAACACATCGCTGTTGCGATGTTAGAACTTTATTTTCCTACTTTCAACTTAATTTTTATTTCATTTAGTGATAATTTGGGTGATTTAAATTTATCAAGATGTACTTCATTTAATTATGATTCTTCTGACTTTTACAGTTCTTAATTTGATCAATTAAATCATTTGTAATTGTTTATGTAAGAATTGCCAAGGGAAACTCTGTTTGCACCTAATTTGTGTTCGCTGGATGCTGACATCATCTTGATGTCCACCCCCTTATTTCCCTTTTTTGTGAGTTTTAAATATATTTTATTTTTATTTCTTAGTATAAAATTCATAGAAAATAGTATTCTTTGAGGAAAATTCTGACTAATTACATGATATTATATTATATCCCTATGAATTATAATTAATATATTTTTTCAAAAATACTTCTAAATATTCAAAAATTCATATTTTCTAATTTTATAAATTTCAAATTTGTGTGATTTATTATACAATGACTAAGTCATGTCATGGTTCATTTGTAATCAATTAGTTAGGTATTTGTAGGTTTGAAATAGGGTGATTTATAGTTTTGATTCTACATTACGAGTCTTTTATATGTTTGTTCACCTCTCTATCATTGTCTACATCATTGATTTTTTATTTTCCCTCATTTTCAATGGCAAAAATTCTTCTTATTTGCTGCCACCTCTCTTTTGTGCTCATTTGATTTAAATAATAACTAAGCAATACCTAAGTCTCATTTCTTGTGAATTGACCTTGAGCTGACCATATTACTTATCAATTTTAATAGTTTTATTTGGTAATTTATAATTATAAATATTTTTTCATGAACTGATTTTGAGGCTATTGGTGACCTTCGATTTCGTTTTATTATAAATCATCTTCAATTGATTGACAAATAAGACATTATTAGGAAGAAGAAGATCCAATGAAAGATGAGTCACCATTTCTTGAGAGTGTACTAAATGTGATGAAGAGCCTTTTTGATGAGTCTTTATTATCATGAGTTATTAATTAGTAAATAATATATTTTTAGCCTTAACTCATAATAAATAGATATATATTTATATTAAATTATAAAAAGTAGTTTTGAATTGATTAATTTAATTTTTTAGTTAATTATGTGATTTTTTATGAATTTATATAATTTTTATAGTCATATTTTTGAGATAAATGAAGAAAAATAAATTAAAATAAAAATATAGCAAAAGTGGGGGACCTGCTAGCTAGCCAAGCCCACAAGAGGGTTAGAAGCGCAGTCAAGGGGAGATGTGAGGGGCACGTGTGTGCCACTCTCCTTCCACGTTACTAGTGGCCAGCTGGCTATAGGGCAAGGAGTGGTCATACACGCGAGAGAAAGGGACTCATTATTTAGAAATGTGATAATACTATATATTTGCCCAAAACTTTGACGCACAAGTGACGTGACTCAGTCGTTGTATATTAAATCACGCAAATATAAAATTTATAAAACTAGAAAATACGAATTTTCGGATATTTAGAAGTATTTCTAAATAAATATATCAATTATAATTCAATAAAAAATTCCAAAAATAGCGGTAATTTTCAAGGTCGATCACAAAGATGTAATATAATATCTGGTAATTATTCAGAATTTTTCTCAATGAATACAATTTTCTTACGAATTTTATACTAGGAAATAAAAAAGAAATATATTTAAAATTCACGAAAAAAAGGACATAAGGGTGCGGACGTCAGGATGACGTCAGCGCTCGACGAACGCGAATCAGGCGGAAAGAGAGTTCCGCCCAGTGATTCTTACGTAGGCGATTACAGACGACTCAATTAATCAAATTAAGATCTGTAAAAGCCGGAAGAATTGTAATTCAACAAAGTATAGTTTGGTAAATTAAAATCAACAAAGTATCACTAAATGAAGCGTAAATTAAATTGAAAGCAGGAAAACAGAGTTCCGACGTCGCGACGGCGATGCGTCGGCAATGCACCGGAATCCTGAGCGTTTGGGAGGATCGTCGTGCAGTGTTGATAAGTCTTCATTATCATGAGTTAATAATTAGTAAATAATATAGTTTTAGCCTTAACTCATGATAAATAGACTTATATTTGTGTTAAAGCATGAAAAGTGGTTTTCAGTTGATTAACGTGAATTTTTGGGTAATTATGTGATTTTATACGATTTTTACAGTCTTAGTTTTGAGATAAATGAAGAACAAGAAATAAAAATAAAAATATTGCAAAATGGAGGGACCCGCCGGCCAGCCGGGCCCGCAAGCGGGTCGGAAGCACAGTCGGGGAGTAGCCGCGAGCAGGGGCTCGAGCGGCTTGCTTGGATCGATAGGGGCACGTGTGCGCCACTCCCCTTCCACGTCACCGGTGGTCGGTCGGCTGTGGGGCAAGGAGTGGTCGTACACGCGGAGGACTTTGCCTAAAGAGCTAACTTTACTATATATTCGCCCGAATAATCCGCGCACAACCGATGTGGGACTAAATCCACCTTGAGGCGACCGCCGCGGGTTCGAATCCTCCCAGAGTCAAAATTCATATATTTTTAACTTATTATCGTGACTTTCCTGCAGATCGCCGGTGAAAGATTAAGCAACCGGAATTGCTGGATCATCGGCGAAAATCTCGTCAACGCGATTTGCGGAGCATTGCTACTAAAATTTCTGAACGATTCGCGATAAAAGGATCGCAATCCATCGAGTAAATCATCTCCGATTGATTGACGAACAAGCCGTCGTCAGGAAGAGGACGATCCGCCGGGAGACCAGTCGCCACCTCCTGAGAGCGTGCCAGATGCGATGAAGAGCCTCCTCTTGAGAGCGAACCTGAGGATGAAGCTCCCTAACACGCGCCTCACCTCCATCCAGCCCCTCTCCGTCGGGTGACAGCCGCCGGAAGAGCCGCAAAGTCACCGTTTTTCCGCTCCGCCGGGTGACAGCCGCCGGAGACGATTCGACGACCCACTTCATTGGTCTCTAGACTTCGCGAGAAGATCTAGAGATTGCCCACGTCGTCTTTGTCCAAGGAGAGCCTTCGAGGCCGTGGACACTGCATGACGATCCTCTCGAACGCCCAGGATTCCGGTGCATCGCCGACGCGTCGCCGTCGCAACGCCGGAACTCTGTTTTCCTGCTTTATCTAGAGATTGCCCACGTCGTCTTTGTCCAAGGAGAGCCTTCGAGGCCGTGGACACTGCACGACGATCCTCCCGAATGCTCAGGATTCCGGTGCATCGCCGACGCATCGTCGTCGCGACGCCGGAACTCTATTTTCCTGCTTTCAATTTAATTTACGCTTCATTTAGTGATACTTTGTTGATTTTTATTTACCAAACTATACTTCGTTCAACTACGATTCTTCCGGCTTTTACAGATCTTAATTTGATTAATTGAGTCATCTGTAATCGCCTACGTAACAATCGCCGGGCGGAACTCTGTTTCCGCCTGATTCGCGTTCGCCGGGCGCTGACGTCATCCTGACGTCCGCACCCTTATTTCCTCTTTTTTTTTGTGAATTTTAAATATATTTCCTTTTTATTTCCTAGTATAAAATTCATAAGAAAATCGTACTCATTGAGAAAAATTCTGAATAATTACCAGATATTATATTACATCCCTGTGATCGACCTGGAAAATTACCACTATTTTTGAGATTTTTATTGAATTATAATTGATATATTTATTTTGAAATACTTCTAAATATCCGAAAATTTGTATTTTCTAGTTTTATAAATTTTATATTTGCGTGATTTAATATATAACGGCTGAGTCACGTCAGTAAGTGATTATAGATGATTTAATTGATCAAATTAAGATATGTAAAAGCTGAAAGAATCATAATAAAATAAAGTATATTTTGGTAAATTAAAATCACAAAAACTATCACTAAATGAAGCGTAAAGTAAGTTTAAAGTAGGAAAATAAAGTTCTAATGTCGCGACGGTGATGCGTCGGTGATGCACAAAAATCCTAAGTGTTCGGGAGGATCGTCGTGTAGTGTCCACGGCCTCATAGACTCTCCTTGGACAAAGACGACGTGGGCAATCTCTAGATCTTCTTGCGAAGTTTAGAGATTAATGAAATGGGTCGTCAAGTCATCTCTGGCGGTTGTCACCTAGCGAAGCAGAAAAATGGTGACTTTGCAGCTCTTTGGCGGCTTTCACCCGATGGAGAGGAGCTAGATGGAGGTAGGGCGCGTGTCAGGGAGCTTCATCCTCAAGTCTACGCAGCAAGAGGAGGCTCTTCATCGCATCTGGTACACTCTCAGGAGGTGGCGACTCGTCTCTTAGAGGATCGTCCTCTTCCCGCCGATGGCTTGTTCGTCGATCAATCGGAGATGATTTACTCGATGGATTCGCGAACCTTTTATCACAAATCATTCAGCAATTCTAGTAGCAATGCTCCGTGAATCACGTTGACAAGATTTTTACCGATGATCCAACAATTCTCGTTGCTTAATCCTTCATCGGCGATCTATAGGAAAGTCATGATAATCAGATAAAAATATATGAATTTTGACTCTGAGAGGATTTGAACCCATGCCAGTCGCCTGCTTCTAAGGAAGGTGTGATGTGGGTTTAGTCCTACATTGGTTGTGCACCGATTTTTTAGGCGAATATATAATAATGTTAGCTTTGTAAGCAAAGTCACTGCTCTCACATATACAACCATTCCTTGTGCCACAACCGGTTGGCCACCAATGACATGGAAGGGGAGTGGTGCACACGTGCCCCTATTGGTCCAAGCCAAGCTGCTCGAGCCCTTGCTCGCAACTGCCCCCCGACTGAGCTTCCGACCCGCTTGCGAGCCCAGTTTGCTAGTGGGTCCCCCTATTTTACAATATTTTTATTTTTATTTCTTGTTTTTTCATTTATCTCAAAAGTAAGACTGTAAAAATTGTATAAAATCACATAATTACCCAAAAATTCACATTAATCAACTGAAAACCACTTTTCACACTTTAACACAAATATAAGCCTATTTATCATGAGTTAAGGCTAAAACTATATTATTTAATAATTGTTAACTCATGATAATGAAGACTTATCAAAAATCAATTGATTTGAGAGATGTAGAAGATGAAATTAATAAATCTAATCATAAGTTTGTAGCCATGGATGTGGATAGTGAGGATGATGATGTATATCATATACAAAAATTAAAAGATAGCTCTTGGGAAGATGAAGAATTTGATGAGTTGAGAAAAAAAAAGCTAGAAAAAGAGTTGATTCAACTAATGGGGAGAAATGAAAATAATGAATATGAATATAGAAATAATTTTGGAGGAGAAAATTTAAATTTTATTGAATTCATTAGATCTGAGATTAAAGAAGATAATCCTTCCATCCTTCAAAACCCACAGCCCATTAGAATTACTTCTAAGCTTGAAATATTTCACTCCTCGCAAATTGAACAAATATGTATGAAATATAAAATGGAGTAGGGAAAGATTATGCAGATAAAAGAAGACATTATGAAATGGGTGAATGAAAGAATTAGGGATATCAATTTAAATGAAAAAGTTCTAGCTTAGGTAAGAGATAATTTGAAAATTATATGACTTGATCACATTTTATGGTCTATTAATAAAAAGTATTTATTAATGAATGAGAGCCTTAAAAAATAAGATAGAAATGAGGAAAGATTATTTTCAAAATAAAAATATTTTTGGGGAGAATTTTGTTAATTTCTATTTTGTTTTGGCTGAAAGTATGTCAAGGTATATATATGAAGTATATGAATTTATGCTAAATCTGAAAAAGAATATCATGAAACTTACCTTGGGATACAAATATATTTTGATGGCCATAGATCATCTTATATGATCTAAGAGATGTCCAGCTGAAGACATTAAATTCAGCGCTACATGGGAGGTAACTCATGATTTTTATTTCATTCTGTTTGATTTTTTTAAACTTTGTTTTTCTTAGAATTTCATAGTACTTATTTTGTATTTGTTTTTCTTCAAAAAAGTGCAGGAAGAAGAGTGTAAGATGAAGTAGAAAATTAAAAACGAGGTTGAGGTGATGACTTTCAGAACTTTATCATTTATGACAATATTTTTAATGCTTAACTTTACATATATGCATGCTTCACTTGAAAATTATATTTTCTGCATATTCTGTTTCGATTTTTCTATGTCATTGAGGACATTATCGTTTTTAAGTTGGGGGGTGAAGTATTAATTATTAATTTATACTTTTGAAATGATTAAGAACATGTGTTTGTATTTTATTTTTATTTTTTCATGCTCACTTTGAACAACAACTAAAAAAATAATAAAAATCAAATAAAATTCTAAAAAACTACAACATCTATTTTCTGGTTTTCTGTCATGAACAATATACTATAAAAAATAGCAGACAAAAAACAGCTCGAAATTTGAAATTTTAGAGACCCTTTTCTCACATTCTAATTTTCTAAACATATATTAATGAAATTCGAAATTACAATTATAAAAAATATAGTTTTGATTTATTTTTTTGATAAATTTATTATTGCTAAAAATAGAACTGAAAATAGAAAACAAAATTGTCAGAACTATCTAATTTACAAAGTTTTTTCATCATATTATATTCATGAAAAATTAACTCAATTAGATTGATTGATACCAAAAGATACTAGGAATATTATTATTGAGTCAAAAGAATGATCTAGTAGCATGAAATGTTGGAATGCCCCTTGGATACATGATAGATAACATGAATTTGATTTTACAAATTTTCACTTCATGATCTTGATGGATAGTGACATGACTTAGTCATTGTATATTAAACCATGCAAATATAAAATTTATAAAACTAGAAAACACGAACTTTCAGATATTTAGAAGTATTTCTAAATAAATATATCAATTATAATTCAATAAAACTTTCATAAAAAGTAATAATTTTCTAGGTCGATCATAAATATCATATAGATTTTTATGAGTAATAATTTCGTTATTCATATAGAAATAATAATTCAATAGAAGTATTTAGAATTTTTCTCAATGAATACGATTTTCTATGAGTTTCATACTAAGAAATAAAAACGAAATATATTTAAAATTCACATAAAAGGGAAATAAGGGTGCAGACGTCGAGATGATGTCAGCGCCTGGTGGACACGAATTAGGTGGAAATAAAGTTCCGCTCGGTGATTCTTGCATAAGTGACTACAAATGATTTAATTAATCAAATTAAGATTTGTAAAAGCCAAAAGAATTGTAATTGAAAAAAATATATTTTGGTAACTTAAAAAAACAAAAATTATCACTAAATGAAGTGTAAAGTAAATTGAAAGTAGGAAAATAGAGTTCCGGCATCGTGACGACGATGCACTGGAATCTTGAGCATTTGAGAGGGTCGTTGTGTAGTGTCCATGGCCTCGAAGGCTCTCCTTGGACAAAAATGATGTGGGCAATCTTTAGATCTTCTCGTGAAGTCTAGAGATCAATGAAGTGGGTCGTCGAATCGTCTCCAGCAGCTGTCACCTGGCGGAGCAGAAAAACGACGACTTTGCAGCTCTCCGGTGGCTGTCACCCGATAGAGAAGAGTTGGATGGAGGTGGGCCGTGTGTCAGGGAACTTCATCCTCAAGTTCTCACAGCAAGAGGAGGCTCTTCATCACATCTGGTATGCTCTTCAGAGGTGGCGACTCGTCTCTCAGCCGATCGTCCTCTTCTCGACGACAACTTGTTCGTTGATCAATCAGAGATGATTTACTTGATGGATTGCGATCTTTTTATCGCGAATCGTTCAGCAATTTTAGTAACAATACTCCGTGAATCACATTGACGAGATTTTCACTGATGATCTAGTAATTCTCATTGCTTAATCTTTCACCGACGATCCGTAGGAAAGTCACGATAATAAGATAAAAATATATGAATTTTGACTCTAGGAGGATTCGAACCTTTGCTGGTCGCTTGCCTCTGAGGAAGGTGTGATGCGGGTTTAGTCCCACATCAGTTGTGCGCCGATTTTTCAAGCGAATATATAGTAATGTTAGCTTTATGAGCAAAGTCACTACTCTCGCATGTATGACCACTCTTTGCCCCACAATCGGCTGGCCACAGGTGACGTGGAAGGGGAGTGGTGCACACGTGCCCTTATCGGTCCAAGCTAAGTTGCTCGAGCCCCTACTTGTGGCTACTCCCTGACTATGCTTCCGACCTGCTTGCAGGCCCAGCTGGCCGGCGGGTCTCTTTATTTTGTAATATTTTTACTTCTTATTCTTCATTTATCTCAAAAGTAAGACTGTAAAAATTGTATAAAATCATATAATTATCCAAAAATTCACGTTAATCAATTGAAAACCACAAATCATACTTTAACATAAATATAAGTCTATTTATCATAGGTTAAGGCTAAAACTATATTATTTACTAATTATTAACTCATGATAATGAAGACTTATCATACCCCCCAACTTAAATCATGCTAGTCTCTTAGCAATAGAATTACGAAAATAAAAACAAATCTCAAACATCATGTTTCAATATAAAAAAAAAAATACAATTAGAAATGATGTACCTTTAAACACTTTAGATTCTTCTATCAGGTATTTAAGAATGATGCCAAGCACTTAAATGTTTAAACACTCCTTGGAATAACAATTTAAACTTCACTTCTTCTATTCACATCTTTATCACTTCTTCACTCATAGATGTATTTACAAGATGTTTCAATTATCAATACTCATCCAAGAATAATATTGATCCTACATTTTCCTTTTTCTATGACTTGATTTTTGATGTTTGCACTATGTTTCTTCCTTCTTTTTTTTTTTATATATATAGTGGATAAGTAGCTTTTCTTGTAGACAAATTTCAACAATAAGAATGATGTCTTACACCCTCCATGTGTACTCTTCATTTTCAGGGCTTTCACTTTATCTACTTATTTTTCAGCAAGTGTTTTTCTATGCATGATTTTCGAAAATGAGAATGATGTCTCACACCCTCCATGTGTACTCTTTGTTTCTAGATTTTTCACATTGCTCTCTCCTTTTTTTTTTTTGAAATAAGTGATTTCTCCTCACAAGTCCTATAGATCAGGGTGCAAAAATCTCCATTAAACTCAAATGATCAATCAAATTTTCACATCAAGTAAATACTATCCATCAAGATCATGAAGTGAAAATCTATAAAATCAAATCCATGTTATCTATCATGTATCCAAGGAGTATTCCAACATTTCATGCTACTAGATCATTCTTTTGACTCAATAATAGTCTAATTGATTTAATTTTTCATGCATGCAATATGATGTAAGGAATTTGTAAATTAGATAATTTTGACAGTTTCGTTTTCTATTTTTAGTTCTATTTTTAACAGTAATAAATTGGTCAAAAATAAATCAAAACTATCCTCTTTATAGCTTTAATTTCAAATTTCAGTAATATATATCTAAGGGATTGAAATGTGAAAAAAAGGGTCTTCTAGAATTCAAATTTCAAGCTATTTTTTGTCTACTGTTTTTGACAATCTGTTGTCTCTAACAGAAAACTAGAAAATAGATGTTGTAGCTTTTCTGAATTTTATTTTATTTTTATTTTTTTATTTGCTGTTCTAAGTTGAATAAAAAGCAAACACATGTTCTTAATCATCCTATAGCATAAATTAATAATGAATACTTCACCCCCCAACTTAAAAATGACATTGTCCTCAATGTCAAAAAAATTGAAATAGAATATGCAGAAAATATAATTTTCAAGTGAAGCATGCATATCAGTAAAGTTAAGCATTAAAAATATTTTCATAAATGATGAAGCTCAGAAAGACATCACTTCAACCTCGTTTTTAATTTTCCACTTTATCTTACACTCCTCCTCCTGTACTTTTTCAAAAAAAAAACCAATACAGAAACAAGTACTGCGAAATTCCAAGGAAAATAAAATTTTAAAAAAATCAAAGAGAATGAAATAAAAATCATGGGTTGCCTCCCATGCAGCGTTGAATTTAATGTCTCTAGCTGGACTCCTTGATGTTACTCTTGAATTTCTTTTAATAATAAAATTTCTTTTTCTGCAAGGCGTTCATGTTCGATGGAATGTTTAAGTCGCTGTCCATTTACCTTAAAGTTATGATCACTTTTAAGATCTTTAATCATTACAGCCCCATGATCATATGTCTCTTCCACCACATAAGGCCCTTTCCATTTTAATTTTAATTTTCCTCAAAATAATTTCAGCCTAGAATCATATAACCACACTTTTTGTCCAATATTAAATTTTTTTCTGCTATTGTATTTATCATGAAAAGTTTAGTTTTTTCTTTATATATTCTATGATTTTCATAAGCTTCATTCCTCAACTCCTCTAGTTCATGTAACTAAAAAATTATATGCCCACTAGCTGATTTTTCATCCATACATAAATTTTTTATAGCCCATAATGCTTTATGCTCTATTTCCGCAAGAAGATGACATGGCTTTCTAAAAATGAGACAAAATGGGGACATACTTATGGGATTTTTATAAGTTGTTCTATAAGCCTATAATGCATCTTGTAATTTCGTGGGCCAATCTTTCCTATCTGGTCTAATTATTTTTCTCAAAATTCTCTGAATTTCCCTATTTGCTACTTCAGCTTGCCCATTTGTTTGGGGATGATATGGAGTGGCTACTCTATGGTCTACTCCATTCTTTTTCAATAGTTTCCTGAAATATTTATTTGTAAAATGTGTTCCTTCATCACTAATAATTACTCTAGGACATCCAAATCTCGAAAAAATATTTTTCTACACAAATTTCATTACGATTTTATGATCATTAGTTCTAGTAGGAATAGCTTCCACCCACTTCGACACATAATCAACAGCAAACAAAATATATTTATATTTTTTAGTTGATAGGAAGGGACCCATGAAATTTATTCCCCATACATCAAAAATTTTGACTACTGACATGTTACTCATGGGCATTTCATCTTTTTTACTCATGTTACCTATAGATTGGCATGAAATACATGTTCTACTAAATTCTATAGAATCTCTAATGATTGTAGGCCAATAAAAACCATACTGAAAAATTTTTACAGCTATTTTTCGTCTAGAGAAATGTCCTCCATAGTTAAATGAATGACACATGTTAATAATGCTATGATATTCTTCTTTAGGAATGCATCTCCTTAAAATTTGATCATTGCCCAAGTAATATAAATCATGATCATGTCAAAAATAATTTATAATCTTAGAAAAGAAATGATGTTTTCTGTTCTTATCTCATTATTCTGGAGCTTATCTAGAAATCAGAAAATTAACAATATGTGCATACTATGGTGATGGTTGATGTTGAGCTGCCATCAATTATTTATTTGGAAATACGTCTTGTAAAGGTGCTGCATTTATTCTTGTATCACTTAATCTAGAAAGATGGTCAGCAACAACATTTTCGAAACCTTTTTTATCTTTTATTTCTAAGTCAAATTCTTGCAACAATAAAATCCATCTTAATAAATGTGGCTTTGCATCTTTCTTATTTAACAGATATTTTAATGCTGTATGATCAGTATAAATAATAATTTTAGCTCTCAAAATATATGATCTAAACCTTTCTAATGAAAATACTACAACTAACAACTATTTTTCAGTCGTGGTATAATTTAATTGAGCATCGGATATAGTTTTACTAGCATATGAAATTATTATGGGTTTTGACACTTTTGTTTGTCCTAGAACGGCCCCCACTACATAATTTGATACATCACACATTATTTCAAAGGGAAGGGACCAATCAGGAGTTTGTAAAATAGGTACCTCAATAAGTAATCTTTTTATTTCAGAAAAAGACTCAAAACATTTCTCATCAAAATTAAAAGACACACCTTTAGATAATAGCAAGGTGAGAGGTTTAGAAATTTTCAAAAATCTTGAACAAATTTTCTGTAATAACTTGCATGACCCAAGAAAGATCTAATCTGTTTTACTAAATTTGGAGGTTTTATTTTAGATATAATATCAATTTTTGCTCTATCCACCTCTAAACCCTTTTCACTCACAATATGACCCAACACAACTCCCTCTTTAACCATAAAATGTGATTTCTCCCAACTCAAAACTAATTTTTTCTCTATACATTTCTCAAGTACATGCTGTAGATGATTTAAGCATTCATCAAATGATTCTCCAAAAAATAGAAAAATCGTCCATAAAATTTCTATGCATTTTCCAATTACATCAGAAAAAATAGATAGCATACATCTTTAAAATGTGGCTGGAGCATTACATAGACCAAAAGGCATTCGTTTAAAAGTAAAAGTACCAAATGGACAAGTGAAAGTTATTTTTTCTTGATCTAAAGGGTTTATATAAATTTGATTATAACCAGAGTATCCATCTAGGAAACAAAAAAGTTTTTTCCAGCTAATTTTTCTAGAATTTGATCAGTAAATGGTAGGGGAAAATGATCTTTTTTAGTAACTGAATTTAATTTTCTATAATCAATGCAAATCCTCCAACCGGTAGTTAATCTTATTTGTATTTCATCCCCATTTTCATTTTTTATAATCGTGATCCCTGATTGTTTTTGGCACTACTTGTGTAGGACTAACCCATTTGCTATCTGAAATAGGATAAATAATATTAGTAGCCAACCACTTTAAAATTTCTTTTTTTATAATTTCTATCATTTTAGGATTTAATCTTCGTTGTGGTTCCCTACTAGTTCTAGCCCCCTCCTCTAGATATATACTATGCATGCATATACTCCTATCAATACCCCTTAGATCGTCCATTTTTCAGCCCATAGCCTTCTTATTTTTTCGAAGTACATCAAATAATTCTTTTTCCTATTCATCACTCAAATCAGTTGTAATAATAATAGGAAATGAATTATTTTCCTCCAAAAACATATATTTTAAACTAGAGGGAAGAGGTTTCAACTCTAAATTCAGATGATCTTCTTCTTTCTTTTCTTCCAAATTTATATTCTCTATTTCCACTAATTCTTCTAACACACAGTCATCAATAACATCTGGATCATCAAAATCATCTAAAAGATCTATGGTATGACAATCATATACTTGGGATTTCTTAAGATTATTTGATACCTCAAAAATTTTAATTTCTATTGATTGATCTCCACATGAAATTTTCACAATACATGTGGGAAAATCAATATTCATCTTTGCTGTATGCAAAAATGATCTCCTTAGGATGAT